TAACAAGCCGTCGTGATATACGAGGAATATTGCTGACTACGGTTTTAACCAACATTCAGTCAAGACCTCGTCGTTAAAGACGTGTGTGTATAATATATAATATAATAAGCTATAATATAGGATAGTGCATTTATGACAGTGAGTGAGTGAGTGAGTATGGTTTTACGCCGCTTTTAGCAATATTCCAGCAATATCACGGCGGGGGACACCAGAAATGGGCTTCACACATTGTACCCATGTCGGGAATCGAACCCGGGTCTTCGGCGTGACGAGCTTACGCTTTAACCACTAGGCTACCCGACCGCCCCCATTTATGACAGTCGTGATTGATATAGAAATAGGTAAGCAACGACAAAAGGGTAGTGGGGCATGGCCGGACGAGTACAAGCAATCATACACACACACTCGCGCGGGCTATATAAATGCAATAATTTTGAACCTCACCCATATATATTACCAACCTACCTTTCACCATGACTTGGGATAAAGAGATTACACGGCGCTTCCATTAATGAGACCGCCTCCGTGGTCTAGTGGTTGAGCGTCCGCCCCGAGAGAGGAAGATGCTTGGTTTCAATCCCCGGCCGCGTCATAACAAAAAAACGTTAAAAGATGGTACTTGTTGTTCCCCTGTCTGGCGCTCGTCATTAAAGGGCTAGCTAAAACAAGGACTGGACGGCTCGGAGACAGTATACTGTGTCTGAGTGGGGTATTCGTGTTTTCTCAGTGTGCTAGCACTATAAATCGGCATCCGTTCGAACCAGTACAAGCAACCACACACACACACACACACGTACGCACGAACGCACGCTCGCCCTCTCTCTCTCACACACACACACACACGTGCATGCACGTCGCTATATAAGTACAATAATCTTCAACGCGACGTTAAACCCATTTCGCCTCACCTCGAGTGGTAGAGCGTCCGCCCGGAGAGCGGAGGATCCGGCATTCGATTCCCGGCCGCGTCATACCGTTTAAATGATGGTACTTGTTGCTTCCCTGCCTGGTCGACTCGAAGTCAGTATACTGCGTCTGAGTGGGGTGGGGTATTCATGTGAAACTGCTACGTGGCGTATCAGTGTGCTAGCACTATAAAATCGGCATCAGTCCCGACTAGTACAAGCAACCACACACACGTGCATGCACGTCGCTATATAAATGCAATCATCTTGGACGCGACGTTAAAACCCATTTCACCTCACGTCCATAAATGATCTACACCTACCAAAGTAGAACTGAGCTTAGGAAGATATTCCAACATACCATGGCAAAGACAAAAAAACGTATCACCCATTCAAAATCCTCTAAAAGTATATGCAAGGTGACTGGAAAAGAACAAAGCACACGATATCAATAATTACGCTAGCGTCCGTGATGGAAACAAAGACAGTGAAGAAAGGGCCGGAAGATAAAGCCTCCATCAAACATTGTTTGGGAGCTGCAATCGCTGTCTCTGTCGATATTTTCTGTACAAATAGATGATAAGCTCGCAATTAGGCAACCGCTTCTCCGATCAATGGTGGCGTGTATTTGTTTAAAACAGGGAATGGGCGGTGGAATGCAAGATTAATATTTCATGGCACAGATTATTTTAGCATATTTCAGTCTGTGCACTCAAATGATGAATCTGGGTGGATAAAAAGGCGGGGGTGGTCATGTTGGTCATATCGGCGAAGGTATTATTGCTACTGTTGAGTGAGTAATATTTCATATTGTTTTTGCAATATTCCAGCAATATCACGACGGGGACACCAGAGATGACATTCACGTTGTTCCCATGACGAGTGAATGCTTTAAACACTATATACACAGACTGCCTCAGTGCCACAGCTAATTAAAGGGGCAGTACGTCGACGGCTCGGTGTTTTTAAATCATGCGTGAAAGAATATCAGAGTTTGACGTCACGTATTCCCGATTCAATCTCAAACAAGAACAATGGAGCTCCGCACAGCGAAACCGACAACGCAAGCGCTGCGTAGGGTAAACTGGCTTCAGTTGTGTGTTTTTTTTATTGGAGGCAAATTGAAGTGAAAGCTCGTGTGGGTTTTTTTCTTACGGATGAGTTACAAAATACTAATTGCCAGCTTGATTAGATTAGAAGCTAGTGGACCCGTGAAGATCCGGGATAAAATAGATCTTCAGCAACCCATGCTTGCCTTAAAAGGCGACTATGCTTGTCGTAAGAGGCGACTAACGGATCGGATGGTCAGACTTGCTGACTTGTTTGATGCATGTCATCGATCCCAATTGCGTGGATCGATGCTCATGATGTCAATCACTGGACTGTCTGGTCCAGGTTCGATTATTTACAGACCGCCGTCTTATAGCTGGAATATTGCTGAGTGCGGCGTTAAACAACAAACAAAGAAGCTAGTGTTTATTAAAGTCTAGATTACAACATATATGTGCCTCGGTCGTGTGATGTCAAGCCACTCTCCTATTAAAAACAATAGTGATATGCACCAAACGTAGTCCCGTATTCCATACAATTAGCACGGAAAAGATATTTTCATGTTTTAGCGGCCATTTTGGCGGCCATCTTGAATATTTTTTAATGCCAAAAGATGACAGAGTGTCATTGGTCAATTTCATAACCCAGAATGTGAACTTAAACAAATCCAGCAATAAAAAAAACTTTATCCCACAATTCTTGGTTTTTGTCCTCTCTGCCGGACTATATACCCAGATTTCCCTGCAGCAGGTCGAGTATCCCTGTCACATCGTCACATCTTTGTCCATTCATGTGTGTTTCATTTTGGGCGAGTCTACACATTGAGATAAACATAACATTCATCGAGAAAATTTCCTATAATGTGAAAAAGAGCCGAAAATGCTGTAGCGGAATAAGCCGAGCAGAGACTTATAAAGCTCGGTGGTTATCGGCTATTGTTTACAAACAAAGCTTCAGAACGGTCGACGTCCTGTCCCTTCGATGTCCTCGTTTGAAACCTATTCTGGGCGTACGGATTGCCCAGTCGTCTTATGCGCGGCAATTATCAGCGCAGAGTTCCATCCCTTTGGCGTGTCAGAATCCTGTGATGGTGTATTCCAAACCTTGAATCGCCCTGATTATAATTTCTGGTTTGGCAGCTCCATACCAAAGTCGAACACCTGTTTTGTGCCCTCCTCCCACGTCAAGCTGATGCGCCGTGATAAGAATCAAAAACTGTTCCAAGCGGAGTTAAGTCCAACAATTCAATTTCAAACGGTCTCAGGAAAGTCGAACAGACTGCAACATGACAGATATGGCGTGTACAGGACTCGAACCTGGATCAGACAAACCAACGTACAACAGGGAGCGGGACCCTTGATGAAAGGGAGGTAGCGCGTTACGTCCCCTCTGATGACGTCACCAGGCTACTGATTGATACCCAGGTGGCACAGGTGGCCCAGTCGTCTAAGGCGCCGCGATTCGCTGTGCAGAGTTGCGTACCTTGGGCAGGCCAGAAACCTATGATTGTGGGTTCGAATCCCGGTTCGCCCCGATTATGTTTCTAGGGTTGTCAGCACCGTACACGTGCTCGTGGGTTTCACCGAAGTGATAAACGTCTGAGACCTGCATCTCCTCCCACATTAAGCTGACACGCCGTGATATAACTTGAATATTGTTAAAAGCGGCGTTAAATCCTACTCACTCACTCACTGTTTATAGGGACCATGATAGGGAATTGGGTAGACAAGCTGACTAGTAGAGTGGCTGCTATCTTTTCTTTCTGGCTGGTGAAAATAAAACCTATGAAGTATGACTGGCGAGCTTAATTTCTCTCCAGGGAGCTCGAATAATGTTATTCAGTTGTCAAATATGAAAGTTTTAAAATGGTCAAAAGATTTTCAATGGCAGATTTCTGATGCTATAAAAGTTTTCGTCGTTATTATAGTCCCTTATCACTACTTCTGCAAGTGGCCGAATTCTGTTGGATATTGACTACTTAGGTTCTAGACCCGTGAAGATCTGTGGTAGAATAGGTCTTCAGCAACCCATGCTTGCCGTCAAATGCGACTATGCTTGTCGTCAAAGGCGACTAACGGGATCGGGTGGTCAGGCTCGCTGACTTGGTTGATGCATGTCATCGGTTCCAATTGCGTGGATCGATGCTCATGATGTCAATCACTGGATTGTCTGATCCAGACTCGATTATTTACAGACCGCCGTCAGATAGTTGGAATTTTGCAAAGTGCGGCGTTAAATAACAAACCAACCAACTTAAGTTCTAACTTGGTTGCACCTTGAAATAAAAAAAAATATCTCTGCTGCCAGATTTCTCCTTGTATTTTATAATGTGAAAAGCATCTGGCTACTGAAATCCAAAATTGCAAGTAAAAATATTTAGCTAGCCCGGCTGGGTAGTACCGTTGTAAAGAAATATTTCACACACTGTATATTTTGGAAGGTTTTGAATTAAAAAATACTTTCCTCGAATGCGCATCCTGTTATTTTCTGTCCTTTATTGCATATTTTATAAATATTATTTTTGGGTTGATGTTATTATTTATTTATATTCACATTGATTATAATTTCTTACGCCCTCTATATCCCGTGCAATTACATGGATGTAAAACACGCAGCAACATTGCGGGGTAATTTGACGGTGGACCCTTTGTGTATACTACTCGAAAGAAGTTAAAGAAAAACCGATTCTTTCATATTACTGTAGTTAACGTGTCATGTTACAACAGATTAACTATCGTAGTAGGAAGGTGGGTGATCTTTAACTTGTTTGAGTAGTATACTTTCCGGTTTCTTTAACTACAAGATAAATATTGCTAATACACTTATATATTAAATATTAATTTAGATATATTGTGTTCTTTTGCGGCATGTTGCAAAATCTATATGATTTAATTCAAGCGACTTATGTGAATATAATATCTACAAAATTGGTTATCTACATTGGCAGTTGATCATTTGGGTAAAGGTCTATGTCAATGCAATGAATGGTCCCTTCAGTGAGGAATATTTCGTTTCGTTCTCAAGTCCGAAATTTCATCACGTGACATTCGATCAGGTCACGACACGATCAGCTGTGACAAGGAAAACAATTAACAACCCATCCTTTTGTGATCATATGACAGATGACATCCGTGTTGTCGCCGGGTCAACGGTTGATTTACTCACGTGATGTACGCCTCGACGATGTCATATCCTGATATACATTCATGCACACAGGTAGCCAATCCTTTTGTATGTATGTACTCTCACTGTCAACAGCTGATCTGAACTGTGACCGCTCGTAACAGACGAATGGTCGTAATAAAAGAGCAATATCTCGCTCGGTACAAAAAACTGACAGAGAAATGAAAGTGTCACCCGATTTTTAGTTTAAACATTTTTTAACATTATATGCAAGCTTCATTTATTTTATTTCAGACCAGAATATTCGATGTCATATATATGCAGTTTTTTCTCGGGGATTTTTCAAGGATTCACTAGCAACTATAGGGGGGGGGGGGGGGGTTACTTTCTTGAAAAGGGAAAGTTTGTGTTTAATTTCGTGTTTTCATAAATTCAGTCATTTTTTTTGTTTTATCAAATTCTGTATATACACCGCACTCAAATCAAATTAGGGCTGGCACGGGTCAGGTAGGTATACTGAGTAGGACCCGGTACGTACAGCAGGCCTAGATCTATCCGGAGTCACATGAAATACTGTTTAGTGACAAAAATTATCTAGAACTCCATCGTTACGATACAAGTCACCAATGTTCACATTTCTTTCCGACTATGAACGCATTTGTTCTGACTTATGCTTGAATAAGGATAAAACTTCAGTCAACTTCAGTGTTTGCATGAGCAGATCGTTTTATTCGTGTATCTAAATATGTTTTGCCGAGGCTAGGTTAAACTATTCCCAATCAGACATTTTGTTCCCATCTCTTGAGACCTACAGCATATACCCAGGTAGGGTCGGGTAATAGGGGGTTGGGTACCTGGGTAGTAAATTTGGACTCCTCCCAGCCCTAATTCAAATCAAGTCTTCCTCTTTATACTATAGGTCATATTATCAATTAAATGATAGTCAGCCCCACATCCATGACATTACTCAGTCATTAGTTATAATTTATAACAACTTGAATTGGGTTTCATTTTTCCAATTTAGTCATTTTTACTGACATTTCCTGCAGACTTGGTGTCGAATATCACCCTGTGAATAGTCTGTATATCATTGAATTTGATCTGCTGACAGTCTGTCTGTGCACCTGATCTGTTATCAGTCTGTGTCATTGGACCCGAGGGATGGTCGGGTAGCCTAGTGGTTAAAGCGTTTGCTCGTCATGCCAAAGACCCAGGTTCAATTCCTCACATGGGTACAAAGACCCAGGTTTGATTCCTAATATGGGTACAATGTGTGGAGTCTATTTCTGGTGTCTTCCACCGTCATATTGCTGGAATATTGCTAAAAGCGGTGTAAAACCAAACTCACTCACACATTGAACCTGATCGGTTCAGTCTGTTTCAGTGAACCCAATGTGTTGTCCGTCAGTGTTAGTAAACCCCATCTGTTGTCAGTCTGTGTCAGTAAATCCCATCTGTTGTCAGTCTGTGTCAGTAAACTCCATCTGTTGTCAGTCTGCAGCTGAAAATGTTGAGCTGAAGCGTCGCCTCCATCGACTTCGGGAGCACCGAGATGAGCTGCAGAGGGAGCTGAATGTCCTCAAGGAGAGGAAGAAGGAAGAAGATCTACTCCGGAACTACGTCACAACTCGAGAGTAAGATTGTTGAAAAGTACTTTTCCTTACACACATCCTTGAATGATCTTGCACCTGTGATCTTACAACATGCATAGACTGACGCTTAGTCTCCGAAACTATATAATTTTGATGAAAACAAAGAACTCCATTTAAACTGGAAGAAGTCCCAATGAATCAGAGATTCAAAACCTGTGGAAAATGTTTTGTTTTGATTGTTTGTTGTTGACACTGCACTAAGCAATATTCTAGCTATATGACGGCGGTCTGTAAATAATCAAGTCTGGACCAGACAATCCAGTGATTGACATCATGAACATCGAGCTATGCAACTGGGATACGATGACATGCATCAACCAAGTCAGTAACTCTGACCCAATCCTGTTAGATGCCTCTTGCAGCAATGTAGACTTCCTTCATTTAGGGCTAAGGCATTACATTTAGGGCTGGGCGGAAGGGAAAATAATGTGGATCAGGGACTGTGAGACAGACTTATGTATACCATTTCCTTATGGATTGTGGACTGAGGATTTTAGCATCTACTTGGCCAGACCACAGTGCAGTCAGGGTTCGAAAGTGGACTGGGCCAATGGCACAGTTACAATCATAAACGCAGAGTTATAAAATAATAAGTTCCTTGTGCCTGAATCATGTGTGAATGGCACACTTAGAAGTCCTATCTTTTCTTAAAAAAATACGCTGAAATGATATATATTTTAAGAAACCAGTGCAGGGTGCACTGTAGGAATTTTCTGACATCAGCCCTTTATGTGAAAATTTCAAATATTCCTTAGGTACACCCACACTTGCCCATACAGCACAATGTTAAAATGCCCAATTGTATTACAAAATATGGACCTTTGTTCAAACTTAGGGGCTAAAAGCACAAGGCCCCACCCTTGAATTGTCCCTGCCAGTGACAAATGTTTTCTAGCAAAAGTAACTTGTGCAGACATTTAAAATGAATACCGTATTTGACGTAATAAGCGCCCCGCTCTAATAAGCACCAACGGCGATATATGCTAATATATTGGCTCGTGAACCATCCCAATTAGCACCCTTTCCGATTGATCAATGTACACAATACTTATTTATTCGTGTATAATACGCACGCGTGTGTTATATGCACCCTTAATTATGGGCAATTAAATTCTGGAAAAATAGATCTGTCGTATATAAACAGTTCAGGCCATCAGCATAAACCACAAAATGTATTTTTTAACTCTGTTTTTTTCCACCAAAATAATATTCCAATAAGAACTCCCTATTTCTAATTTTGAGAGCGCCCTGGGCCCTTATTACGTCGAATACAATAACCATTGAGACCTGGACTCTGTAACTGTTTAGATGTATGAGTAGCTCGATTATTCTGGAATCGTTGTATACTGCAGCAGAGATTTCTAGCTAACAATAGCGAAAAGGTTAACAGCGTTTATGGTTCCACAATTTGGCCGTGTCTGGCACCAGACTTAACCTCCCTTTCAAACAATTTGTAATTTTTCTTTGAGCAAATCCATAGATGTACACACTGTGTACTAAAAAAAAAACACCTCTTGTCTGATGGTAGATGACCAGATGGTGGAAACACAAATTCGTACACACACCCGAAACACAAGTGTGGTGTCACCCTGGGCAACGTACTTAGTTCAAATGTGCCTCTGTTCACAGAGCTTGGAATGGCTACCTGTTATGGGAGGTGGATGTAAAAACCTTCTAGCGCCCCTAGAAGCTTGGGTTGTATACTCCCCAGGGAGTTGAGAATGATAACTGGAATGCAAACGGATCCTTGGTCGGGGAATAAATAAAACCACATTTGAACAGATACTAGTACCTGGAAACATACCTTTCCTTCAGAAGACAACATATTTATATATTTTTATTTTTTTCTAAACAAGATTTTTAGGACACTTTTGAGTATTAGCCCACATGACTAGTTTATTAAGGGGTGGTAGGGTAATCTAGTGACAAAAGTGTTTGCTGATCATACCAAAGACCCATGTTTGATATGTACCTTGTGTGAAGCCCATTTATGGTGTTTCAGGGCAGGGTATTGCCAGAATATTGCCAACGGTGGCGTAAAACGATAAAACCACACTCACTGACACGCTAGTTTATTAAATATCCTGCTGTCCCAAGTTGTATGAATTTGAATGTTATTGCACTAAAATCGTTTTGTGATAAGGGGTCCTGAGAAAGTTTTGTTTAATGTAGAGTGCTGCTGATTAATCATGGAATGGTTAAGAATCGTCCTTCCTCTGTTGGCAGTGTGTATGTGCAGACGGACCCTCGCCCCTGGCACACCAATAGGCACAGTCAGAAGTCGGAGGAGAAGAAACAAGCAGACCCAGAGTCACAGAAGCTGAACAAGTAGGTGGATTTCATCACTCATTTATCCAGCATTCTGAAATAAGTGCCTCTGGCAGCAGTGTTTGTAGTTGCCAGGCTGCCATCAGAGTGAGTGAGTGAGTTGGGTTTAACGCCGCTTTTAACAGTATTCCAGTCATATCGCAGCGTGTCAGCTTAATGTGGGAGGAAAGCCCCAAGTGATGCAGGTCTCAGACGTTTATCACTTCGGTGAAACCCACGAGCATGGGTATGGTGCTGACAAACCTTGAAACATAATCGGGGCGAACCGGGATTCGAACCCACAATCATAGGTTTCTGGCGTGCCAAGGGACGCAACTCTGCACAGCGAATCGCGGCGCCTCAGACGACTGGGCCACCCGTGCCCCCTGCTGCCATCAGAACCCATAAGACTTCAGAAGATGTAGGCCCTGACTATACTCTTCAGGCCCTCGTTTAAATAAAAACCAGCTTATTGTGATAAATATATTGACACATAAATTTCCTGCAGGCCATTAGGACCCATTCAACAGGCCTCAAAGTTGCGACTAAAACTGTCGCCAATGCGACCTAAATTTCAATTTGTCCACTGTCTAAAATTCAGAGGTAGCCAAATGACTACCTTGAAAAATATCTTGTGGCGACTAAATTCTATTGCTACACATATCATGCATATGTTGACACAAAAATAAATAACAGCTGATTTTTGAAAACACATCTGTATTAACAGATGTGTTTTCAAAAATCAGCTGTTATTTATTTTTTATTGTACTTGCAAATAATGCCTCCTAAAGTCGACAATTAACCCGAAATACATAAATATTAATTCAATTAGTATATTATTTCAGTCAACAATGCTCAATGGATAAGCAAGGATATACCTATATGATCTTGTAACATAAATTGCATCATTGTTCAAGTCACAAATAACAAAAATCAAGTACAATTTCCACTAGTATACAATTCCAAGACTAGTGCTATGACTTGTACATATTATAATAGTTATTTGATCAAAGATCACTTCAAATGTTTTTGGCTACCTGCAATATTGGCTTGACTTTTTGATTTTACCACTGGCTACCAGGAAAAAAATACTAGTAGCCATGTGGCTATTTGGTAAAAATTTAACGTTGAGGCCTGTCCAGATTTGAAACTACAGGCCTGACTCCTGCCCTGCCTGCCATGGACCTTTGGGTAGGTGCTTATTCAATCTCATTAAAATCAGGTCTTAGTTTTCGCTTCCGCTAAGCAAAGATCTGAGGACATCCAATTCAGGTCACGTCAGACCGACCTTGCGCGAACTTTGACCGACCAATGGAATGACCAATCAGAAGGCAGCTTTCTCGTGCTTTACGGCACTAATTTCAAATTGGCGACTATGCTTCGAAACATATTTTGACGAATTCTTGATTATAAATTAGAAACCTGAACAAAAGAACATTCCGAAATGGCTAACATATGGTCTAGAGTGTATGGAATCAGTCGTTATACCCGTAACTATCGTTCGGAGTTAAAATTTTCGAGGTTGCGTGATTAGAAATCACATTCCGACTGTCACTTTCATGATCTGGTAAGCAATGCTCTGACTGGTCGGATGAAAGGTGGTTCTGACGTGACCCAAATGGGATGTCCTCAGATCTTTGTTCAGTGGTAGCGAGAACTAAGGTCTGATTTTAATGAGATTGGTGCTTATTTCTCACACTGCCTGGCAGGCACACTGGTAGAAAAGTGTCATTCAGTTCTTAAATGCAAAGTTAATTTTACATTGTATTTGAGTGACCTCTACAAAATTAGTTATAGGCTTCAAAAAATAAAAGAATTGATTCTAAAGCAATGACTTTTGAAAATATAGTGCAGGTTAGCGGTGTTTTTTGTTCTAACTAGTATGTACCCAAATAAACTGTTGTGTACCATCAACCTGGGAAAGGGCCCCCCTACATAAACAAACATACAAACTACTTTTGCTACCATTTCCATAATCTGAGATACTCAGTAAAGCAGTGTGTATGTAAAGGGAGGTAACTGCATGCTATATTGGATCGCATTGTTTTCAAGTATACTTATCCAAAAAAGAAACTGAGCATAGCAAACAATGAATACAGTAAATGTACAGTAGAAATTTATTCAAAAGAAATGATATTGGATGAAACACAATTCATTTGTCTACAAACATGAACAACATTAAATGTGGATGGTGTACAGTGTCGACTTCAGGATGCTAATGAGGTGCATGGGGTCAATATCTAAAGTCACAGATTCAGTTGCCTGTATGTCTGCTCAATTGGCGAAAGGTTCGGTGAAATTGCTGGCCATGGCAGAACACCGACTTGTTGCTGGAGAAATTGTTGCATAACACAGGCTGTGTGTGGACGTGCATTGTCTTGCTGAAAAAATATACCAGGGCCATGACGTTGAATGAAGGGAATAACAACCGGTGCCACAATTTCATCACGGTATCGTGCTGCATTCAAATTACCGTCCACAATGATCAAAGGCCTCCTGTTCCTAGCAGTGAGGTCTCCCCACACCATGACAGTGCCTCCACCATATTGATTCCTCTCCACAACATATGCATTTGCGTAGCGTTCATTGTTACGTCGATAAACCCGTTGACGGCCATCTGATGATGACAGGTTAATACACATCTTCCCGAGGCAAGAGAGTTAACTGACTTTAAAAGTCCAGTTTCCACCCTTGCCGAACTAGGCTGGAATTCCTTGGCTCGATCGTAGCGCCACCAGTGGCTATTTCGAGTTATGTCCTTTCCATGCCTCTCCTATTGACCAATCAGATTCAACCTCTCGTATCACTTGCATTTGCTTCAAACTAAATCGTGGCGCCCAGTCAAGATGATCTGATTGATAATCAAGATCTATATTGTGATAAAACGAGTCTTACATCGCAAAGTGCATCAAATCAAGTGAGCACCTTGATTAAAAGCATGAAAAGATTTAGAAAATATCTGTTGACAACGAGTAAGCGATGCACATGCTTTGCAAATCCTGCAGTCGACCGAAATCTGCATGACACTTTACGAACCGGATTTCGATTTCAGTGCGCGATTTTGATTGGACTATGCATAGACTCGTTAGTCCAGCCAAAATGTAACTCCATAATACCAGCCTAGTTTGGCAAGGGTGGAAACTGGACTTTTATAGTCAGTTAACTCACTTGCCTCGGGAAGATGGTTAAGACGCACCAGTACTGAGGGTGCCTGACATATTGTCTGCACCATTGTAAATGTGCCCGGCGATGACGTAGTGGGACAAATAGCAGGTCTCCTTGCACGTAGGCCATAACTTCTTAGGCGGTTGATGACCCTTCGTGGATGAATCCGTCATTAGGAATGCTACGGGCTGTTGTTGTTGCTGCTTGACACCGATTTCGGAGATGAACCAGTCAAATTCATCGATCTTGAGCAAGTGTGGTAACCCTCGGTCTCCCTGAACGTTGATGGTCTCTGACGTCATTTTGTTGTGCATAATGACGGACTAATGCGAATATGGTGTCACAATGGCAATTGAAATGTTGAGCAACCTCCCGTTGGGTGGTACCAGATTGTAGTATACCCAGGGCTATATGACATTCAGCTGTTGTCAGTCTTCCATATACAGTATTCGACGTAATAAGCACACCGCTCTAATAAGCGTCCACGGCGATATTTACTAATACATTGGCTAGTGAACAATCCCAATTAGCACCCCGTCCGATTGATCAATGTACACATGATTTATTTATTCGTGTATGATAAGCATTCGTGTGTTATATGCACCCTTTATTATCCGCAATTAAATTCTGGAAAACTATATCTCTCATATATAAACATTCCAGGCTGTCAGCATAAACCACGAAATTTAAGATATTGCAACTCTGGTTTCTTTTCACCAAAATAATATTCTAATAAGAGCCCCCATTCCTATTTTTGAGAGCGCCCTGGGCACTTAAAATGTCGAATACGGTAGTAGGTCTATACAGGAAAAATGACCTTATTTTTAAAAGCTTAAAATTGTCACAAAGACACTCATTTTAGAGAAATATGTAGTATGTTTTATACTAGCCAGTTTGCATATTCTCACCCCTCATGCTTTACATCACTTGATAAAGATGTGCCCTGTGTTGCAGGATGCTGACGATGCACTCTCAGCTGATGAAGAGATACGAGAAGGAGGTGAAACAGAACATGGTCCACATGGAGAGCATCGCGGACCTCAATGTGAGCTCAATTGTGAAACTGAGGAGAGTAGCTATGTGACAAGGACACACACTGAGGTCTATACTAACTTAGAACTTGAGTGAGTGAGTGAGTTGGGTTTAACGCCGCTTTTAACAGTATTCCAGTTATGTCACAGCGTGTCAGCTTAATGTGGGAGGAAAGCCCCAAGTGATGCAGGTCTCAAACGTTTACCACTTCAGTGAAACCCACGAGCACGGGTATGGTGCTGACAAACCTAGAAACATAATCAGGGCGAACTGGGATTCGAACCCACAATCATAGGTTTCTGGCGTGTCCAAGGGACGCAACTCTGCACAGCGAATCACGGCGCCTTAGATGACTGGGCCACCCATGCCCCCCACTTAGTACTTGAAACTTGGGATCCCTTTATACTCTAATTTTTAGCTCACCTGACTGAAAGCAAAGTGCACTTGTGTCATGACCTGTTTGTCTATTGTGCCTCGTCCATCGTTCATCGTCCGTCGTAAACATGTTCTCTTCAGAAACATCTGAATCTTCATGAACCTTTTGCCACCAATGAATGTGTATGTTTCTCTGTATGATGACATCATGTTTTGTTCAAATTATCAGACATTCTTCTTAGTTTGATCCTGAAAATAATTTAATATCAAGACTGACAGGAACATTTTTGCCCATTGCAGCCACACTGAGATGGCCAATACTCAGACAAATTTGTTCAAAATGTAATATTTTTTTAATGTGAAGTTTACACAATTCAGGGTTTCCATTGGAAACTGACTGTGAAAATGATGTTCATAAGTGTATGAACAACACAATTTGATGTTCATATGTTTTTCACAAGACGGTATTCTTGAAATAATGTAAACTCTGGCAGATTACTTCCACATTCCTGGTGGAACCCCTGAATGAATACATACAGAAGCATTGTTTCTGATCATTTAGACCTTTAATCAGCATTATAGCAGACATAGGGAAAAGGCAGAGAGTTTTACTGCATGATCATTCACAAATATCCTCGGGGCGGTCGGGTAGCCTAGTGGTTAAAGCGTTCGCTCGTCACGCCGAAGACCTGGGTTCGATTCCCGACATGGGCACAATGTGTGAAGCCCATTTCTGGTGTCCCCCGCCGTGATATTGCTGGAATATTGCTAAAAGCGGCGTAAAACCATACTCACTCACTCACTCACAAATATCCTCGCTACAACCCATCCTGGTAAACAAAACGAAGAAATGCACATCCAAACTATCATAGTATCAACTCGATCTGTGTCTAGACTACAGTGACACTCTATGAATTTACCGGGGGAACGGGTGGCCCAGTTGTCTAAGGCGCCGCGATTAGCTGTGCAGAGTTGCGTCCCTTTGGCATGCCAGAAACCTATGATTGTGGGTTTGAATCCCGGTTCGCCTCGATTATGTCTCTAGGTTTGTCAACACCATACCCGTGCTCGTGGGTTTCACCGAAGTGGTAAACGTCTGAGACCTGCATCACTTCGGGCTTTCGTCCCACATTTAGCTGACACACTGTGATATAACTGGAATACTGTTAAAAACGGCGAAAAACCTAACTCACTCACTCACTCACTATGAATTTACCTCAGTATCTATTTCACACATCTTCACAATCACCTTTCATCGGCCAGTGGATCAGTGATGGCTAACAATTGTAATCGCCACAGGTTCGTGAACAAATTCAGAATTCTCTCAAGTCGTCTCGGACATTTTGGCGTCCAGTATTTGATGTAAATGTGTTGTGACATGCTGTCACTGTGACTGACTGACTGAGGTTGTTTGTAGCACACCTTCTTCATCTGATGATGATATTGTTTTAATCTATTTGTGGTAACCACGCAATAATAGACATTCCTGTAGAGCCAGGTGTGCATACATAGGCTCATGTCAACTCTTCTTTTGAGGTACTGTTTTATTCTGTGTTACCTGTGGTTCTTGTATTGCTATCAGTGTAAACATGAAGTCACACATACTAAATGAAATTGTGTAATACAACCCTCGAGGTATAAAATAGTGATATAAAACATTTTAAGAATTGACTTACACTTTGTGTGATTCCATTGCAACGATGTTGCAACGACATTTTCGCAATATTTGAAAAGTTATCAAAATACATTTTGGTGCTGTAAGCTTCTCTGGAAATGCCAGACTGAGGAAGGTGAGTTTGATGACATCATGTTTTGTTCAAAGTGCCATTGTCCGAAACAGCTTACCGCTACGACTGTCGTAAGTCTATTTCAGGTGTGGGAGTTACGATCACCTTAGCACTAAGATCGCTTTGTACAACAGCACCAAGACCTTTAGGATTTTAGTTTTTTGACATCTTGATATGCTGCACAAGGAGTTGTTCTTTTCTGAAAGTCATTGAATTGTTTGGGTAAATATGTCACTTGATAAACTTCTGTTTCCAGGTGAGGATGATGGAAATGGAGAACAGGATGAAGGAAGAAAAAGAAAAAGCCCTCAGACTTGAGGCTGAGCTTGTCGGGGTCAGGGGTCATACTGGGTCAAGGACTCTGGGTAATGAATATTTCCTGATTTCATCCAGATGAGGAGAAATGAAAACTTTGAATTATACTCCTCAGTGCTGATTATAGAAGAGTAAAATTTTGATGTGATGGATTATGAACACCTTCAACTATTCTGACAAACATAAGGCCAAGAACTGAATAGGATCCTGTGTCCCTTGCTAGAGGTGGTCAGTGTTGGGCACAATAGGACCCTGTGTCCCTTGCTAGAGGTGGTCAGTGTTGGGCACAATAGGACCTTGTGTCCCTTGCTAGAGGTGGTCAGTGTTGGGCACAATAGGACCCTGTGACCCTTGCTAGGGGTTGGTCAGTGTGGAGCACAATAGGATCCTGTGCCCCTTGCTAGAGGTGGTCAGTGTTGGGCACAATAGGACCCTGTGACCCTTGCTAGGGGTTGGTCAGTGTGGAGCACAATAGGATCCTGTGCCCCTTGCTAGGGGGTAGTCGGTGTGGAGCACAATAGGACCCTGTGACCCTTGCTAGGGGGTGGTCAGTGTGGGGCACAATAGGATCCTGTGCCCCTTGCTAGGGGGTAGTCGGTGTGGAGCACAATAGGACCCTGTGACCCTTGCTAGGGGTTGGTCAGTGTGGAGCACAATAGGACCCTGTGACCCTTGCTAGGGGGTAGTCGGTGTGGAGCACAATAGGACCCTGTGACCCTTGCTAGGGGGTGGTCAGTGTGGAGCACAATAGGATCCTGTGCCCCTTGCTAGAGGTGGTCAGTGTTGGGCACAATAGGACCCTGTGACCCTTGCTAGGGGTTGGTCAGTGTGGAGCACAATAGGATCCTGTGCCCCTTGCTAGGGGGTAGTCGGTGTGGAGCACAATAGGACCCTGTGACCCTTGCTAGGGGGTGGTCAGTGTGGGGCACAATAGGATCCTGTGCCCCTTGCTAGGGGGTAGTCGGTGTGGAGCACAATAGGACCCTGTGACCCTTGCTAGGGGGTGGTCAGTGTGGGGCACAATAGGATCCTGTGCCCCTTGCTAGGGGGTAGTCGGTGTGGAGCACAATAGGACCCTGTGACCCTTGCTAGGGGGTGGTCAGTGTGGAGCACAATAGGATCCTGTGTCCCTTGCTAGGGGTGGTCAGTGTGGAGCACAATAGGACCCTGTGCCCCTTGCTAGGGGGTGGTCAGTGTGGAGCACAATAGGACCCTGTGACCCTTGCTAGGGGGTAGTCAGTGTGGAGCACAATAGGATCCTGTGCCCCTTGCTAGGGGGTTGTCAGTGTGGAGCACAATAGGATCCTGTGACCCTTGCTAGGGGGTGGTCAGTGTGGAGCACAATAGGATCCTGTGCCCCTTGCTAGGGGGTGGTCAGTAATGGGCACAATAGGATCCTGTGCCCCTTGCTAGGGGGTGGTCAGTGTTGGGCACAATAGGACCCTGTGACCCTTGCTAGGGGTTGGTCAGTGTGGAGCACAATAGGATCCTGTGCCCCTTGCTAGGGGGTAGTCGGTGTGGAGCACAATAGGACCCTGTGACCCTTGCTAGGGGGTGGTCAGTGTGGGGCACAATAGGATCCTGTGCCCCTTGCTAGGGGGTAGTCGGTGTGGAGCACAATAGGACCCTGTGACCCTTGCTAGGGGTGGTCAGTGTGGGGCACAATAGGATCCTGTGCCCCTTGCTAGGGGTTGGTCAATGTGGGGCACAATAGGATCCTGTGCCCCTTGCTAGGGGGTTGTCGGTGTGGAGCACAATAGGACCCTGTGCCCCTTGCTAGGGGGTGGTCAGTGTGGAGCACAATAGGACCCTGTGACCCTTGCTAGGGGGTAGTCAGTGTGGGGCACAATAGGATCCTGTTACCCTTGCTAGGGGGTAGTCAGTGTGGGGCACAATAGGATCCTGTGACCCTTGCTAGGGGGTAGTCAGTGTGGAGCACAATAGGACCCTGTGCCCCTTGCTAGGGATGGTCAGTGTGGAGCACAATAGGACCCTGTGCCCCTTGCTAGAGGTGGTCAGTGTGGAGCACAATAGGATCCTGTGCCCCTTGCTAGGAATGGTCAGTGTGGGGCACAATAGGACCCTGTGACCCTTGCTAGGGGGTGGTCAGTGTTGGGCACAATAGGACCCTGTGCCCCTTGCTAGAGATGGTCAGTGTTGGGCAGAATAGGACCCTGTGCCCCTTGCTAGGGGTGGTCAGTGTGGAGCACAATAGGACCCTGTGCCCCTTGCTAGGGTTGGTGTGGGGCACAATAGGACCCTGTGTCCCTTGCTAGGGGTTGGTCAGTGTGGAGCACAATAGGACCCTGTGACCCTTGCTAGGGGGTGGTCAGTGTGGAGCACAATAGGATCCTGTGTCCCTTGCTAGGGGGTAGTCGGTGTGGAGCACAATAGGACCCTGTGACCCTTGCTAGGGGTGGTCAGTGTGGAGCACAATAGGACCCTTTGCCCCTTGCTAGGGGGTTGTCAGTGTGGAGCACAATAGGACCCTGTGCCCCTTGCTAGAGATGGTCAGTGTTGGGCAGAATAGGACCCTGTGCCCCTTGCTAGGGGTGGTCAGTGTGGAGCACAATAGGACCCTGTGCCCCTTGCTAGGGTTGGTGTGGGGCACAATAGGACCCTGTGTCCCTTGCTAGGGGTTGGTCAGTGTGGAGCACAATAGGACCCTGTGACCCTTGCTAGGGGGTGGTCAGTGTGGAGCACAATAGGATCCTGTGTCCCTTGCTAGGGGGTAGTCGGTGTGGAGCACAATAGGACCCTGTGACCCTTGCTAGGGGTGGTCAGTGTGGAGCACAATAGGACCCTTTGCCCCTTGCTAGGGGGTTGTCAGTGTGGAGCACAATAGGACCCTGTGCCCCTTGCTAGAGATGGTCAGTGTTGGGCAGAATAGGACCCTGTGCCCCTTGCTAGGGGTGGTCAGTGTGGAGCACAATAGGACCCTGTGCCCCTTGCTAGGGGTTGGTCAGTGTTGGGCACAATAGGACCCTGTGCCCCTTGCTAGAGGTGGTCAGTGTTGGGCAGAATAGGACCCTGTGCCCCTTGCTAGGGGTGGTCAGTGTGGACAGAATAGGACCCTGTGTCCCTTGCTAGGGGTGGTCATTGTGAACAGAATAGGACCATTGTAAGGGTGTGGTCACCAACACTGGAATGTCAAGTTCAAAAGTTCAAAGAGCGATGCTCTGAAATATTTTGTCCATAAAATTACTTTTATCCATTTTCCTGCAGACTCTGAACTGCGAGACATTGTCAGAGAGAGGAACAAACTGAAGAGAGAGAACAAGAAACTTCGGGAAGAGCTGGATGGTCTAGATGAGGTGTGTCTGGATTCCTTTCTTGTCAGGGGAGATCACTGAGTTATAACAAATATCAATGGTAGATATCCCTAGAATATGTTGGTTAGGAGAGGTGACTCAATGTTTAGGGTGGTCAGACTTGGTGACTTGGTCGATGAGAATTGTAGAATTGATTATTTACAGGTTGCAGTCATATTGATGGAATGTTGCTGAGTTAAGCAAACAAACAAACAAGTAGGGAATCTGGGGCAATACTTGTGGTCAGCAACTTAAATGAGGATCATGTGGTAAGAGTGTGTGACCTGTCTGAAAATGTGTTGCCTGATGGTGTGAATCTTTGCTCATGATATCAGCCACTGATTTGCCTGGCCCAGAAGAAGTGAGGTAAAATTGGGTTTTATTCAACAGTGTGTGTCGGGGGATGTTCTGCTCAGTTTTAGTTTAATCTCCTTAATGCAGGGCATCAGGCAGGGTAACAACAAGTTTAATAAAGAAGAGAAATTATGGATGTCGACTTCTTTATTAAGAGGAACGCAAAGTTTCAGAGTATATACTTACTCCGTTCTTCACAGTTCTTCTTTATTCTCCTTTATGCAGGGAATCAGACAGGGTAACAACAAGTTTAATAAAGAAGAGAATGTATGGATTTCTTTCTTTCTTTCTCATGGAGACCATAATATTTCGGAGTATATATACTTAGTCCTTTGACCCGTGAAGATTCTGGGGTAGAATAGGTCTTCAGCAACCCATGCTTGCCGTAAATAGCGACTATGCTTGTCGTAAAAGGCTTCTGACAGGATCGGGTGGTCAGGCACGCTGACTTGGTTGATGCATGTCATTGATCCCAATTGCGTGGATCGATGCTCATAATATCAATCACTGGATTGTCTGGTCCAGACTCGATTATTTACAGACTGCCGTCATATAGCTGGAATATTGCTGAGTGCGCTGTTAATCAACCAACCAACCAACCAACCAACCAACCAACTTAGTCCTTCATCAGGTGAATAAATGCATTTAGTAATGCATGTTCTAAATGCCATTCAAAGTCTTAACAATGTCTTTTGGTATAACGCAACCTGGGATCTAACAGCTGACCTTCTACTCTCCAGATAAACGCTATCCACAATGTTTAGCTGGCTATGCAGTATGTCCTGAAACAAAATGTGTGGTAAAAAAATATGAATTATCTCCCCCTTTAAAAGAATAAAATTGTATGTTTTGCAGTAATGTCAGAACATTACTGTGTCCTATGGAGGGTTCTCTGATCTGCTGGTATTGTATCGGAGTTATTGATCTGATTTTAACAAATTGTAAAACATATATCAGGATTTCCTAATGTTATTTTACAGAGTTTCTTCGACGAGATCGAGGACATCAAGTTTGGGTTTCAGCAGTCAGCCCAACTCAACAAGGAGTATGAGAAGGCGCTCCGGAAACTGTGTCACAAGTTTGGTGTCCCCTACCCTCATCCAGAGCAAGCTGTTCTCATGTCAAAGAAGAAATGAACATTTAGGAATTTGGCCTCATCCGATGTGAAAGTCAAGTGAGCTATTGTCATGGCGAGTTGTCCGTCATCAGGTTGTCCAGTCATCCGTCCGTCTATCCATTTTTCTATGGAATCTCTTCTGAAACTACACTGCCTGTGGATCTGAAAGTGTCGAAAACTGCTCCAATGATTCTGATCCATTTGTTAAAATGGCTGCCTTTACTTCTTCATATGTAAGGTGGGCTTCAAAGCCTGGTGGCTCTATTTATATGAATTTAGAGTCAATGTACATTTGTTATATCATTTTACCAATAAAATTTATATTGTTAAAAGACATTTTGTTTGTTATTTTATAAGATATTTTTCTATATTAATAATTGTGATGCTTCAACAGAAAGAGACATAGTTATGTACAGTGCAAACTTGTTTATCAGGATGCAAGTGTTCCAGGTAATGATGTCCATTTTGCGCACGCACGCACGCACACATGCGCACACTCACGCACATATATGTGGATTGAGTGGTTTACAGTGTGCTTGTGTGGGGGGTTCCCAGTACTTTAACATGTGGAGTAGGTGGTTTACAGTGTGGCCTGGCTGTTTGTGTGGCTGGGTCCAAGTACTTTAACATGTGGAGTAGGTGGTTTACAGTGTGGCCTGGCTGTTTGTGTGGGGGGTTCCCAGTACTTTAACATGTGGAGTAGGTGGTTTACAGTGTGCTTGTGTGGGGGGTTCCCAGTACTTTAACATGTGGAGTAGGTGGTTTACAGTGTGGCCTGGCTGTTTGTGTGGCTGGGTCCAAGTACTTTAACATGTGGAGTAGGTGGTTTACAGTGTGCTTGTGTGGGGGGTTCCCAGTACTTTAACATGTGGAGTAGGTGGTTTACAGTGTGGCCTGGCTGTTTGTGTGGCTGGGTCCAAGTACTTTAACATGTGGAGTAGGTGGTTTACAGTGTGGCCTGGCTGTTTGTGTGGGGGGTTCCCAGTACTTTAACATGTGGAGTGAGTGGTTTACAGTGTGGCCTGGCTGTTTGTGTGGCTGGGTCCAAGTACTTTAACATGTGGAGTAGGTGGTTTACAGTGTGCTTGTGTGGGGGGTTCCCAGTACTTTAACATGTGGAGTAGGTGGTTTACAGTGTGGCCTGGCTGTTTGTGTGGGTGGGTCCAAGTACTTTAACATGTGGAGTGAGTGGTTTACAGTGTGCTTGTGTGGGGGGTTCCCAGTACTTTAACATGTGGAGTAGGTGGTTTACAGTGTGGCCTGGCTGTTTGTGTGGCTGGGTCCAAGTACTTTAACATGTGGAGTAGGTGGTTTACAGTGTGCTTGTGTGGGGGGTTCCCAGTACTTTAACATGTGGAGTAGGTGGTTTACAGTGTGGCCTGGCTGTTTGTGTGGCTGGGTCCAAGTACTTTAACATGTGGAGTGAGTGGTTTACAGTGTGCTTGTGTGGGGGGTTCCCAGTACTTTAACATGTGGAGTGAGTGGTTTACAGTGTGGCCTGGCTGTTTGTGTGGCTGGGTCCAAGTACTTTAACATGTGGAGTGAGTGGTTTACAGTGTGCTTGTGTGGGGGGTTCCCAGTACTTTAACATGTGGAGTAGGTGGTTTACAGTGTGGCCTGGCTGTTTGTGTGGCTGGGTCCAAGTACTTTAACATGTGGAGTAGGTGGTTTACAGTGTGGCCTGGCTGTTTGTGTGGCTGGGTCCAAGTACTTTAACATGTGGAGTAGGTGGTTTACAGTGTGCTTGTGTGGGGGGTTCCCAGTACTTTAACATGTGGAGTAGGTGGTTTACAGTGTGGCCTGGCTGTTTGTGTGGGTGGGTCCAAGTACTTTAACATGTGGAGTGAGTGGTTTACAGTGTGCTTGTGTGGGGGGTTCCCAGTACTTTAACATGTGGAGTAGGTGGTTTACAGTGTGGCCTGGCTGTTTGTGTGGCTGGGTCCAAGTACTTTAACATGTGGAGTGAGTGGTTTACAGTGTGCTTGTGTGGGGGGTTCCCAGTACTTTAACATGTGGAGTAGGTGGTTTACAGTGTGGCCTGGCTGTTTGTGTGGCTGGGTCCAAGTACTTTAACATGTGGAGTAGGTGGTTTACAGTGTGCTTGTGTGGGGGGTTCCCAGTACTTTAACATGTGGAGTAGGTGGTTTACAGTGTGGCCTGGCTGTTTGTGTGGGGGGTTCCCAGTACTTTAACATGTGGAGTGAGTGGTTTACAGTGTGGCCTGGCTGTTTGTGTGGGGGGTTCCCAGTACTTTAACATGTGGAGTGAGTGGTTTACAGTGTGCTTGTGTGGGGGGTTCCCAGTACTTTAACATGTGGAGTAGGTGGTTTACAGTGTGGCCTGGCTGTTTGTGTGGCTGGGTCCCAGTACCCCAACTAACATGTGGAGTAGGTGGTTTACAGTGTGACCTGGCTGTTTGTGTGGGGGGTTCCCAGTACTTTAACATGTGGAGTAGGTGGTTTACAGTGTGGCCTGGCTGTTTGTGTGGCTGGGTCCCAGTACCCCGACTAACATGTGGAGTGAGTGGTGAGTGGCTGCTTGTGTGTCATTACATCATGATGACTTACGGTGATGCTCATGTTATCAGCCACTAGTTTGCCTTGATGCCGCTTGGAGATTTTCTGACTGCTGCACAAAACAACATTCTCTCATAATCCTATGGTGTGACTTATTACAACTATCAGTGCATGATTTGCCTCATCATCAATACTCCACGTGGTTCAAAACACTATCTTCCTCCTTCATCCGTGAATACACACAGACGTGTTGCGACTTAGTCGTGATTTTTAGCAAGCAATATGAGCCTGGTTCCATGGAAAGGAAAACCAGCAAGTTGTCTGACCCATTAATCGTGAAGATTCCGGGGTAGAATAGGTCTTCAGCAACCCATGCTTGCGGTAAAAGGTGACTATGCTTGTCGTAAAAGCCGACTAACGGGATCGGGTGGTCAGGCTCGCAGCCTTGGTTGATGCATCTCATCAATCCCAATTGCGTGGATCGATGCTCATGATATTAATCACTCGATTGTCTGGTCCAGACTCAATTATTTTACAGACCGCCGTCATATAGCTGGAATATTGCTGAACAACAAAGCAACAAACAACAAACCAACAACAAATCCATTAATCCTTAGATTGCATCGTACAATTGGCAATGTTACTCATTTAACATCAATTACAACATATGCCAAAGCCTTGTGGTGCCATCTTCCAGAGGCAAACGTGTCCACTAACCTATATAAAAGCCTAGTTCCTACCCTTGCCACATCAAGGCAACTTTTCTTGTCTCAAACCTGGCGCCACCTCGCATAGATCACAGGTTGTGCCCCTTGTAATGAAAACGCGATATCCAATCAAATCTCGTATAGCTTCACAAAGCCATAGGCGACGAATTAGTCGTCAGATAACGAAAACATTTGCGATTTCATCCCTGATACAAAAACATAGGCAATCATAGGGAGGTTTAAAAGATTAAATAGACATATTCGTGTCAACAAAGGCATCCAACGGTAAATCACTTTCATACAAAGGTGTACAAGTTGTGGATGTTGATTTTGTGAAACTTTTTCTGATTTCTGAATCATATGTTGCACAGGAAAGTGGGCTTGATGTGGCAAGGGTGGAAACAAGGCTTTGATGAAAAGGCCAGTGGACGCTCTTGCCTCTGGAAGATGTGGTGTCTGCTTTGCACATTGCTTTAATGTCAGGTAATGGGGCCTGTGAAGATCCCTGGTAGAATAGGCTTCAGCAACCCATACTTGTCGTAAAAGGCGACTAACGGGATCAGGTGGTCAGGCTCGCTGACTTGGTTGATGCATGTCATCAGTCCCAATTGTGTGGATCGATGCTCATGTTGTCAATCACTGGATTGTCTGGTCCAGACTCGATTATTTACAGACCGCCGTCATATAGCTGGAATATTGCTGAGTGTAGCGTTAAACAACAAGCCAAACCAAAATCAGGGAATGGAAGAGTACACACCATGTCTGTACATGTTTGTTTGTTTGTTGTTTAATGCAGCACAAAGCAATGTTCGAGCTATGTGACAGTGGTCAGTAAATAATCAAGTCTGAACAAGAAAGTCCTATGATTGACATCATGAGCATCAATGTACACAATTAGGATACAATGACATGCATCAACCAAGTCAGCGAGTCTGACCACCTGATCCCATTAGTCCCCTTACGACAAGCATGGGTTGCTGCAGACCTACTCTAACCCGGATCTTCACCCTGTGAGTTATATACTAATCAACATTTGCTAAGGACCAAAATTGTCATCTTCAGTCAAATTTGTGGTCCTTAGCAGATGTGGAGTAGTATACATGGTCTTGTTTCATTGCCTGACTTAACTAATCACTACATCACATATCAGCAGTATTTATTACGACCCGTGAAGATCCGGCCTAGAATAGATCTTAAGCAACCCATGCTTGTCGTAAAAGGCAACTGTTTGTAAGAGGCAACTAGTGGGATCGGGTTGTCAGACTCGCTGACTTGGTTGATGCATGTCATCGATTTTCATGGTATCAATCACTGGATTGTCTGGTCCAGACTTGATTATTTACAGACCACTGTCATATAGCTGTAAAATTGCTGAGTGCAACGTTAAACAACAAACAAACAAACATCCATGAAGTGCTGATGATGGGCTTAGCTGTGAAAATGCTGCTGATACAGAGGCAGCATCCCTTCAATCACTCACTCTGCCTCTAGAAAATACATAACCATGGTAACATAAGAAATGGTATTTTATTCAGTCTGTAAAAACTGTACATCATACACGCATATTTCTCCAATATATTTCGCCATTTTGTTCCCCTCACAATAACACTGATTGTGAAATGCAGTGTGCGTATTGCTAGGTGTTTCATGGTGTATAATTATGTGATGATACAAGGCAACGAATAACAACAGTTGAAGAAGGATATGAGACAGAACTTTCACAAATTCCAATGTTCTTTTTTTTAAAATAAGGCCAGTTTTTTAAAACTTTTAACTCCCCCAAAAATGTGACCACTAAATTAAAAGCAGTGTTGTGTTTTTTTATGTTGGTGACCAGTAATATGTAAACAGTAAAAAAAAAAATCAACTGTTTTGTTACCATAACTGAATTATTGAAAATACTTGTATTAATACCTGTTGAAATTGAATCATAAAATCTTCAAAACAATTCAGGACATATTGGTGTCTATTATGGAAGGGAGGTAACTCACTTCGTCATATCCACACAACCATGGCCTGAATTCCTACATAACATTTTGAGGATTATATCTGAAATTGGAACTGTTATTTCTTTACCTTTTTCAGCCTACTGTGAATCTCTGAACCAAACAATCAAATCTGGCCTAATACAATTATGTTGGTGTTGGATCACTATTAGGCCAATATGTTTCACAATATACCGTATTCGATGTAATAAGTGCCCAGGGCCCTCTCAAAATTAGAAATGGGGGGCTCTTATTAGAATATAATTTTGGTAAGAAAAAAAAACAGTTGAAAGATCGTAAATTTTGTGGTTTAAGCTGACGGCTTGAAATGATACAAAAGAAAGATCTGTGCGTATTATACGTGTCAGATATATTTTCCAGACACGAGTGCGTATTATACACGAATAAATTAAGTCGTGTACACTGATCAATCGGAAAGGGGTGCTAATTGAGATTGTTCACTACCCAATATATTAGCAAATATCGCCATGGGCACTTAGAGCGGGGTGCTTATTACGTCAAATACGGTAGCCTGAAATATTCCCAGACATTTGCCAATAATTAACAATCAGTTTAGATTTCCTTCCACATTAAGCTTACATGCCATGATATAACATAAATACTGTTCAAAGCGGCATTAAACCCAACTCACTGTCACACCTTGACAGACACCATCACACACATAGAAGACATTTATTACACAGCTATCACAGTATCCCTCCAGTCCAGAGACTGAGAGGTAAATGATTAACACGGGCTGCACATACATGGATCAGAAGCCTCTTTATTCTTGTGTTCAACATGTGACACAGGGCTTCAGTTTGGCACTAACATTAACAAGGTCATGTGAACCTATAAACAAGGTCGTGTGAACCTGTCAACAAGGTCATGTGAACCTATAAACAAGGTCATGTGAACCTATTAACAAGGTCATGTGAACCTATTAACAAGGTTGTGTGAACCTATTAACAAGGACATGTGAACCTATTGACAAGGTCATGAGAACCTATTAACAAGGTCGTGTGAACATGTTAACAAGGTCATGTGAACCTATTAACAAGGTCGTGTGAACCTGTTGACAAGGTCATGTGAACATGTTAACAAGGTCATGTGAACCTATAAACAAGGTCGTGTGAACCTTTTAACAAGGTCATGTGAACCTATTTGTGATGCATCACCTCCAATGTTTCTCTTCCTGCAGTGCAACACACACTCCAGTTATAATTTTCCATATATAGTCACATTGTATCTTGAACAATGCCTTCTATCTTCATATATACCATCTTCCACCAAAGCCTTTTGAAATAGATATATATGAATAAAGACCTCCGGCTTGTGAAGTTCTTCCTGGAGTAGTCTGTAAGTGACATATCTTGTCAAGTCAAGCCTATATATTCTTAGTAGTAGGTTATGCTTCTGATGAATTATCCCTTGAGTTTGTTGCACCAAGTTACCTGTATACATAAATGAAGTTATTCAGGTGGATTTCTGCTCACACAAATTATGTTCAGAAGCCTGGTTGCATGGAGCCTATGTGTTCAAATGGACGAAAGTCACCATACACAGATTATGCAATTTTGGACATTTTCTCTAGCTTGAGGATCAACCAATAAATATTTCACATGGATAAATGTGGTTAAGTGTGCCATCTTTGACAACAAAAATATATTTGAGTAATTATGAGTCTTCTGTGCACAAAAGGGAAGTCCTTTGTAACACATAATATGTTTGATGACCTTAAACTTGCAGTCCTTCTATTCCATCTGGTACAGTTCACACACCATGATATGCTTGTCCTCTGTGGTCCTTCCATTCCATCTGGTACAGCTCACACACCATGACATGCTTGTCCTCTGTGGTCCTTCCATTCCATCTGGTACAGTTCACACACCATGATATGCTTGTCCTCTGTGGTCCTTCCATTCCATCTGGTTCAGTTCACACACCATGATATGCTTGTCCTCTGTAGTCCTTCCATTCCATCTGGTACAGTTCACACACCATGATATGCTTGTCCTCTGTAGTCCTTCCATTCCATCTGGTACAGTTCACACACCATGATATGCTTGTCCTCTGTAGTCCTTCCATTCCATCTGGTACAGTTCACACACCATGATATGCTTGTCCTCTGTAGTCCTTCCATTCCATCTGGTACAGTTCACACACCATGACATGCTTGTCCTCTGTGGTCCTTCCATTCCATCTGGTACAGTTCACACACCATGACATGCTTGTCCTCTGTGGTCCTTCCATTCCATCTGGTTCAGTTCACACACCATGATATGCTTGTCCTCTGTAGTCCTTCCATTCCATCTGGTACAGTTCACACACCATGACATGCTTGTCCTCTGTGGTCCTTCCATTCCATCTGGTACAGTTCACACACCATGACATGCTTGTCCCCTGTAGTCCTTCCATTCCATCTGGTACAGTTCACACACCATGACATGCTTGTCCTCTGTAGACCTTCCATTCTATCTGGTACAGGTCACACACCATGACATGCTTGTCCTCTGTGGTCCTTCCATTCCATCTGGTACAGTTCACACACCATGATATGCTTGTCCCCTGTAGTCCTTCAAATCCAAATTGATTGGTCATCCAATGCAGTTGCAATAAGAAATGTTATCAAACTCAGACCAACAATAAAATCCTTGCATCTTGGGCTTGACAAAAGAAGGTGATTAAGTTTTTTCAAAGTGACAAGGACACCACAGACAATAAATCACATCATGGCTGTGCGCTCAAGTAGTATCACCACATCTATAATACATGACCACAGCCAAGACTCTGCTGATGTGAAGTATATATCCATATCCATCTTGCACAAAACCATGTTAGGTCCTGCTGATGCCAAGGTACTGCTGCATTAAATCCTCATACATTGATTCAGTCCTTCAGTTCCAACATATCACACATCGGTTAGATCACAGTAAATTAAGTATTGGATTTCCATATTTAAAACCCCCACTTCATTTCAAAGCCTTATAGGACCTAGGCCCTCTATTACCACCTGACTCTTTCTGTGGCCTGCAATGTGTTTTTGTCGGAAAATTTGATGACATGGCCAATTTAAGAAAAAGGAAATGTCTCCCATCTCATTCACTTATAAATACAGTCAAACACTGTTGTGTCAAATTTGATATGGGGAACTTATAGTTATCTCAAAGTAAAAGCTTGCCCCTGTGAATTCCTTCTTTTTTCATCATTTTTGGTGGTGTCAAACCTCAGAAAACTCAAATTTTTTACATAGCTCCCTTCAACTTCAACACAACGGTGTTTGACTGTAGAATGGATGACAATCTAATACCAGACTTTGGCTTCGGTTCTGGTAAGAAATCAAGAATGAACAAACATGACTGGTTGTTTTACTGTTACATGCAGATTGTATCTGAAACCGTGTTTCCTTCCAATTGTAACAATGGGAATCTTTGTGAGCTTTCTGCAGATTTGTCTTGGAACTCAAGTCTATGAAGTCTATCCAAAAGTAACACAGGAATACTTTAGAATTAACATTCTCATAGCAAGTCAAATGGCACTATCAAAACTCATCTTCAGGACATAATAGGGTAGTTATGGCAATGTAACCACGGATAGAATGGTGGAGCCTCATCTTCATTAAGATCTCTCAGCTTCTGTACCTCTCTTACATTCTCAGAAGGTGATTTATATTCACTGTATAACAGTATTTACTAGAAATCTCTTCCCTAAGTTGAAGGTTTCATTACAATGGTCTGTATTTTCATCACATGCGATCCATGATCTCATCTGAGCTTCCTTGATTGCTTGTACAAGGATTGCCATTCCAGAAAGTTTTACACATGATCGTCAGTCAATGCTCCTATGAACATTCACAACAGTTCCTTAAGCTTCAGTATTGATCTGTCCTGAGAATTCATCTTAATGACCCTGAAGCCTGCTTCATAGATTGCTTTGACACAAATGCTGTTTTGTGTTCTGCCAGCTCCTTTTGTGTTGTATTTTCAGGTCAGTTGCTCCACGACCATCACCACCAGGCCTGTCTGTAGTAATAAGGAGTGATCTGTTGTCCTTTCAGATCAGGGGCTGCATAAGCATCACCAGCAGGCCTGTCTATAATATAAGGAGTGGTCTGTTGTCCTTTCAGATCAGGAGCTGCACAAGCATCACCAGCAGGCCTGTCTGTATTTTAAGGAGTGGTCTGTTGTCCTTTCAGATCAGGAGCTGCACAAGCATCACCAGCAGGCCTGTCTGTAGTATAAGGAGTGGTCTGTTGTCCTTTCAGATCAGGAGCTGCAAAAGCATCACCAGCAGGCCTGTCTGTAGTATAAGGAGTGGTCTGTTGTCCTTTCAGATCAGGAGCTGCACAAGCATCACCAGCAGGCCTGTCTGTAATTTAAGGAGTGATCTGTTGTCCTTTCAGATCAGGAGCTGAACAAGCATCACCAGCAGACCTGTCTGTAGTATAAGGAGTGGTCTGTTGTCCTTTCAGATCAGGAGCTGCACAAACATCACCAGCAGGCCTGCCTGTAATATAAGGAGTGATCTGTTGTCCTTATGATCAGGATCTCCACAAGCATCATGAACAGGCCCATCTGTAGTGTAAGGAGTGATCTGTTGTCCTTATGATCAGGATCTCCACAAGCATCATCAACAGGCCTGTCTGTAGTGTAAGGAATGGTCTGTTGTCCTTTCAGATCAGGAGCTGCACAAACATCACCAGCAGGCCTGCCTATAATATAAGGAGTGATCTGTTGTCCTTATGATCAGGATCTCCACAAGCATCATGAACAGGCCCATCTGTAGTGTAAGGAGTGATCTGTTGTCCTTATGATCAGGATCTCCACAAGCATCATCAACAGGCCTGTCTGTAGTGTAAGGAGTGGTCTGTTGTCCTTTCAGATCAGGAGCTGCACAAACATCACCAGCAGGCCTGCCTATAATATAAGGAGTGATCTGTTGTCCTTATGATCAGGATCTCCACAAGCATCATGAACAGGCCCATCTGTAGTGTAAGGAGTGATCTGTTGTCCTTATGATCAGGATCTCCACAAGCATCATCAACAGGCCTGTCTGTAGTGTAAGGAGTGGTCTGTTGTCCTTTCAGATCAGGATCTCCCCAAGCATCAACATCAGACCTGTCTGTAGCATAAGGAGCGGATTGTTGTCCTTATTATCAGGAACTCCCCAAGCATAAACATCAGGTCTGTCTGTAGTGTAAGGAGTGGTCTGTTGTCCTTATGATCTGGAACTCCACAAGCATCATCAACAGGCCTGTATGTAGTGTAAGGAGTGGTCTGTTGTCCTTATGATCTGGAACTCCCTAAGCATCATCAACAGGCCTGTGTATTCGATAAGGAGTGGTCTGTTGTGTTGGAATGGAAGCGAGGATGAAAATATTGATAACAGTGTAGCAACAGTGGTGCTTTATTCCTATAAGTGTGTCACTACAGAATGAGGAAGTATAAAATAGGTTTTCATTGGCTCCTTGCCTTTCAAACTTGTTAATCCACGGTATTCATGTTCATATCCTTTCTCGATTAAAACTTGGGCTGTCTTTTCTGCCATCTGAAATGAATCAAGAAACAACCCTGAGAATGACTTTCATTCATGCAAATATGGAGCCAAACTTTAAGAAAGGTAATATTGACTGCCTTATAACACAGATTTTAATAATAGTATTCTAAATAATATACGAACTGAAAACAAGGGTAAATGACTTCATTTCTGCAGAATACAAAATACCTCTGCTTTTCATTTTAAAAATATTTTCACATCTAAATTTTAAGGAGTCGGCAGATTTGTGAGCCAAGTTCTAAAACAGGTCCATCCTGACATAGAACATATTGAATGTTAGTCTAGGATAAAGAGACTTGTGTTATTTTTCTAAATTCTCCAGAAAAAGTTAATACCGTATTCGACGTAATAAGCAATATGTTCATGTACAATAGATATATTTTCCAGAATTAAATTGCCCATAATTAAGGTTGCATATAACACACGAGTGCATATCATACGCAAAAAATAAGTCTTGTGAACATTGATCAATCGGAAGGGGTGCTAATTGGGATTGTTCACTAGCCAATATATTCACAAATATCGCTGTGGGCGCTTATTAGAGCGGGGCGCATATTACGTCGAATACGGTAACAAAAAAGACACAGAAACAGGCTTACATTTAAATAAATACAGTATATTATCTGGGATATGTTGAACTGTAAGACAAAAGTGCATCTTGGTCTGGTATGACCGCCACTGTCAAAGGTTGTATACTTACATGTATTTTCCCCTGTTCGCTGCTACTGTCCATACGACTAGCTACATTGACAGTGTCACCCCAGATATCATACTGAGGCTTCCGAGCACCGATGACTCCCGCTATGACAGGGCCATCATTTAAACCTGGGGGAGATACAAACATACACTTTGTCTCTTCAGACTGCCACAAAACATGATCTCTGCATTTATAAAAATGATTTACTACTTATAGTTTATCATGTGGCAGTAGAGGGGCGGTCGGGTAGCCTAGTGGTTAAAGCGTTCGCTCGTCACGCCGAACACCCGGGTTCGAATCCCGACATGGGTACAATGTGTAAAGCCCATTTCTGGTGTCCCCCGCCGGGATATTGCTGGAATATTGCTATGTGGCAGTAGAGATTGTAAGCTTAATTGTTGTGATTGTCAATTACAATAAATGACTGTAATAGTAGCAAAATGTTCAGTGTAGTCTGTCTGTCACAAAGACCCTGAAAAAATATATCCAATACAGTCCATGCGAGTCTATAATAGTTGGCAAGTCTAGATTACTGCAATACAAATTAAGAGAGCCTCTGGGCTATTTTTATTATATTGTATTATGAGAATTCAACAACGTCAGACACTAGATGTTAGTCTATGGTGCTGTAATGGTCAGATTTTGACAGCAAATGATTAGAGTTATCTGTCCCTGGATGTTGTAAACAAACATGGATTAAATTACATGGATAAAGGCTGATAAATGTGTATGAATTCAACCTTGGAAACAGTTTTACAGTTGCCATGGTGACAAGATGTTCACGATCCATTGTGGTTTATATAAAAATATATGTGATGAGACTCACCTATCCTGAGTTTGAACTGATTAAAAGAATGCTGATTGAAGTTGTCTAGCTTTTCTATCATTGAAAGAGCGAAGTCTGTCATCTTCACAATGTTTGCGTCATTCTCCACTGAATCCTGAAACACACAAAAATAATTGAGTAAACAGAAAAAATCTGAGTTATCTTATGGTCTTCTCAACTAACTCATTTGAAGATACGGGGCGGTCGGGTAGCCTAGTGGTTAAAGCGTTCGCTCGTCATGCCGAAGACCCGGGTTTGACTCCCGACATGGGTACAATGTGTGAAGCCCATTTCTGGTGTCCCCGGCTGTGATATTGCTAGAATATTGCTAAAAGCGGCGTAAAACCACTCACTCACTCACTCATTTGAAATTACAACGATTTTATAAATGTTATTGAATACATTCTTCCCTCTCATTAACCCATGGGGAACCAAAAGGTCCCAAGCACTCTACTGCTGTCAACAAAATCGGATCTTGTGATCAGGATGCGGTACTTGGTTGATTATGTGTCATTGTATCCTGATGTCTGGAATAGTGTTCATAACGTCAACCCTTTGGGGATTCCTTCACATTAAGCTGACACATCATTATATAACTGAAATACTATTGAAAGCAGCATTTTACCAGTTTGAGGATTGAAGTTGTATTTGTTGAAGTTCATCAGCTGATGAAGACAGTGCCTCAACTTTAATTGTTTAATGAGAACTATATTAACAGGGAGAGTTGCTTTTGTCGTGACGTAATCCGTCCCCAACACTCCATTGGAGTTATGTCCCTTGGTTTAAAATGGCGGCTACTGCAATGCCATTCATTAGAAATAGAAGGTGCACCGAGTAAAGCAAGAACTGGAAAGAAATCAAGACCTGGTGCAAGCTGCCAAAATCTACCCCCCTTCAGAGTATACCTGGGTAGATTCTGGGAGCTCCCAGAATCCCTGGGGTTGGTTCTGGGAAAGGGGATAGATTCTGTGAGGTCCCAGAATCTACCCAGGTATACTTTGAAGGGGGGATATACTTTCAGACTTTGATTCTAAAAATGGATTAATTTAAACATTCTGTGAACCCTTGATGTGTGTTTGAGTCATACTAAGGCTAGATGAGCTGCTGATGATGGGGATTACCGCTTGAGGCGGCATGGTTTGAATTCCCGATGCATATTGGCATACACAACAGTGTGAAGCTGAGTGATTTCTTTTGGTAAGTAGAGCATTCTCTATTGTAACTTCGAATGGATGCTTCATTTTGATGAACCGACATACAAGGATCTGTCTGGCTTCAAAGCCTGCATCCTTCATAGCCTGAATTGTATGATGATACCGTCCCCATTTGACATTATTTTTAGACATTGAGGAATTCCCCTAAAGTAGTTCTGTATGTCTCCGCTCGATTGACAACGTAATCATGTGACATACTGACGTTCATCGGGAAATGAACGACAGTCAGCTTGGTAGTTGGTTGGTTGGTTGGTTTGTTGTTTAACGCCGCACCCAGCAATATTCAAGCTATATCATGGCGGTCTGTAAATAATCGAGTCTGGACCAGACAATCCAGTGATTAATAGCATGAGCATCGATCCACGCAAATGGGATCGATGGCATGCATTAACCAGGTCAGCGAGCCTGACCACCCGATCCCATTAGTCGCCTTTTACGACAAGCAGAGTCACCTTTTACGGCAAGCATGGGTTGCTGAAGACCTATTCTACCCCGGAATCTTCACAGGTCTCAGCATGGTAGTGTTCATCTAGGCGAGGTCATCCGTTACTGTTGATATTCCCTCGACGGAGTGCCTCACCTCTTTATCTTCCATCCCCGGTTGAAGCCCTGTGGCTGCCATATATGTGCTGCCAATTGTCTTTATCTTCTCCACACAGTGAAACCTCGACTGGGTCAAGAGCTGCAAGGAGTTTAAGAATATTAAAATGAAGAATAATATTTCTGGAAACATACAGTATATATCAGATTTTTCAATGATTTGTTTCCACCAAACCATTATCTGTAGGATTGTTTGAAGCCAAAATAATATTTTAAAATATGTAGAATATTAAAAACAGATATCTCAAATTATTCTCATTGGGGTAAATAAAAAAACATGTCTTTTTAATGACACGTCAAACAGTTACTTAACTTACCTTATTGAATTGAATCAACACTTGGTGAGTAAAAAATCCCTTACTGTTCTCAAAATTTTAGCATGGATTCCTAAGACAGACAGACAGACAGAAGCCCAATAATTACATAAACACCTATTTTATTGTATCCAACTGAGAACAGGTATACTGATTTTACTTAAGCTATAAATCCTATTCGTGAAATATTGCTTTGTTCTGATTGGTCGTTGCATAAAGAATGATTGGTTGAACAGCCTTCAAAAGTATTTGCAAGTCACTGTTACTTAAGTCAATGTCACTCCCTCCTGTACACATGATTTCAAAGTAAAGTCTTACAGTGTCAAAATCGGAGATAATTTCGTTGAGCACTCGTATACACTCGAGGCCATGTCTGTTGGCAGCATTTTGTTGGTAGAAGTCTTTGAAGTTGGGTATAGAAGCAAACATGACACTGACGTTGGGGTAGTACTTGTGATACAGGTCCTGGAATAGGAAGAGGAGAAACATCAGTTAATAGATATCATGGTCAGGGCCCACTTGCACAAAGTGATTTTAGTGCTATGATGATCGTAACTCCAATACACTGATGAAGACTATAGACAGTCATAGCACTAAGACCACTTTGTTCAAGTGTCCTGAGCTGAGGCGCGTTTCACAAAGTGATTGTAGCGCTATGATCATCGTAACTCCCATACTCTAATGAAGACTTTAGTCAGTCGTAGCACTAAGACCACTTTGTTCAAGTGTCCTGAGCTGAGGCGCATTTCACAAAGTGATTGTAGCGCTATGATCATCGTAACTCCCATACTCTAATGAAGACTTAAGTCAGTCGTAGCACTGAGACTGCTTTGTGTAAGTGTCCTGAGCTGAGGCGCGTTTCACAAAGTGATTGTAGCGCTATGATCATCGTAACTCCCATACTCTAATGAAGACTTAAGTCAGTCGTAGCACTGAGACTGCTTTGTGTAAGTGTCCTGAGCTGAGGCGCATTTCACAAAGTGATTGTAGCGCTATGATCATCGTAACTCCCATACTCTAACAAGGACTTAGGACAGTCGTAGCACTGAGACCGCTTTGTGTAAGTGTCCTGAGCTGAGGCGCGTTTCACAAAGTGATTGTAGCGCTATGATCATCGTAACTCCCATACTCTAATGAAGACTTAAGTCAGTCATAGCACTGAGACTGCTTTGTGTAAGTGTCCTGAGCTGAGGCACGTTTCACAAAGTGATTGTAGCGCTATGATCATCGTAACTCCCATACTCTAATGAAGACTTAAGTCAGTCGTAGCAAAAGTGATTGTAGCGCTATGATCATCGTAACTCCCATACTCTAATGAAGACTTAAGTCAGTCGTAGCACTAAGACAGCTTTATGTAAGTGACCTGAGCTGAGGCGTGTTTCACAAAGTGATTGTTGAACAACAATGATCACAACTCCCATACCGTAACATAGACGTAAGATGTCATAGCACTCAGATCACTTTGTTCAAGTAGACTCAGCTTGGGCCCCTTGTAACACTATGACTGTCTTAACCTCCATACTATAACATAGACTAATGACAGTGGTAGTGCTACAATCGCTAGCCTGTATCAGAAACAAGTAAAGGTCAAGGATCGAGTCAAAACTACTGAAATATTTAACAACAAATTTACTCCATATAACAATATTCAAATTCCCAATCTCATTAAAATCAGATGTTTGTTCTCGCTTCCGCTAAACAAAGATCTGAGGACATCCCATTACGGGTCATGTCAGGCCGACCTTGCGCGAACTTTGACCGACCAATGGAATGTCCAATCAGAAGGCAGCTTTCTGGTGCTTAACGGCACAAATTTCAAAATGGCGACTCCTCTTCGAAACATATTTTGACAAATTCTCGATTACAAATTTGATACCTGAACAAAAAAACATTCTGGAATGGATAATAGATGGTCTAGATTGTAAGGGTTCGGTCGTTAAACCCGTAACTATCGTTCGGAATACACCATGTTAAAGTTTTCAAGATTGCATGACTAGAAATCACATTCCGACTGTCACTTTCATAATCTGGTAAGCAACACTCTGATTGGTCGGATGAAAGGTCGTTCTGACGTGACCCCTAATGGGATGTCTTCAGATCTTTGTTTAACAGTAGCGAGAACTAAGGTCTGATTTTAATGAGATTGTTCAAATTCCTTACCTCATTTTTTCGAGATGACCTCAAAAAATAATCTGCCACATGAGCAGGTAAAATATTCTCAAGGATGATTTTGTTGATAGCTGCTGTGACCTTGACCTCATCAGGATCCTTTCTTGTCTTCCAGAGAAAGTCAACTCGCTGCGTGTACTCTGTCTGTAATATTTCTTGGAATGAGCGAGTGTGTTTGGTGTTATGACACGTATAACAATTTTCCAGTAATATCACAGCAGGGGACATCAAGAATAGTTTCCCATAAACAGAATCAAACTCAGGGTTTTCTCGTGTCGTAGGAACATCTTAACCACTGGGGGGCACGGGTGGCCCAGTAGTCTATGGCGCCGTGATTCGCTATGCAGAGTTGCATCCCTTTGGCACGCCAGAAACCTATGATTGTGGGTTTCGAATCCCGGTTCACCCCAATTATGTTTCTAGGTTTGTCAGCACCATACCCGTGCTCGTGGGTTTCACTGAAGTGGTAAACGTCTTAGGCCTGCATCACTTCGGGCTTTCCTCCCACATTAAACGGACATGCCGTGATATAACTGGAATACTGTTAAAAGCGGCATTAGACCCAACTCACACACCACTTAACCACTGTGCTACCTTTTTCCACAATCACAAGAATGTAAGGGGGTAATTCAACAATGAAACACCCAGAAAGAAACTATTCTGTTTCTCATCGTATATACTACTCAAAACAAGTTAAAGAACACTAACAATTGGAAGGCTGTGTTGCAATACCCACTAGTATCAAAATCATATGAAAAAGTCATATTCTTTAACTTCTTTTGAGTGGTATATTTGGTTCCAAATTCTTTTTTTTTTTAACCCATTATACATGTGAAACATATCAATAGCCTACTCATCTTAAGTTTTTCATACTGACACCATTAGCAGGTTTGGACTTTTATCATTTAAAGATAAAATTAGGGGGACGAGTCCAAATTTACTACCAGGGTACCCGACCCCCAATTACCCGTACCCACTGTAGGTCACAAGAGTTGTGGGCAAAATGTCTGATTGGGAATTGTTTTACAGCAGCCCTGACAAAAACTATTTAGATACATGTATCAAACGATCAGATCATGTATACACTGAAGCTGACTGAAGCTTCATCTTTACTCAAAACATTTACAAGTCAAAAGGAATGTGTGCATCGTCAAAAAATAATGCGAGTGATGTAGGTCTCAGACATTTACCACTTCGGTGAAACCCACGAGCACGGGTATGGTGCTGACAAACCTAGAAACATAATCGGGGCGAACCGGGATTGGAACCCACAATCATAGGTTTCTGCCCAGGTGATGCAACTCTGCACAGCGAATTGCGGTGCCATAGACGACTGGGCCGACCATGCCCCTGCAAATTCTCAGAATGATTTTCCTAAAAATATTTTTTCAGAGGAACAAAACTGATCATAAACAATCACCTACCTGTCTGTCCAGTACATGAAGAGCTATGAACATGATAGCCAGATGGACTGTTGCCATAAGCCGTAAATCGGCCTGCATTTCATTTGGTCTGAAATAAATGATTGCCAAAAAAATAAAAAACAACTTTTCATGACAATGAAAACATAAAACGTTTTTCGATACTGTATGTAAAATGTAAAAATTACAGCTATCCAGATGCAATGACACGGAGATTAGTGATGTCATTTGTGATGTCATGGTAACCGATGACATCACCATGTTCTGCAAAACATTGTGATGCAATTTCATTGCAGCGTCCTAAGAAGTATTGCTTGATCTAGCCTAAGCGATATCTCCTGTTGAAAGTCAGATTTGGAAAAGAAATCCTGAACACACATCTTAAAATATATGTTTTATAAAAAATATCAAAATATGTTTATAAAAAACATAATTAAATCATACACACTTTAATTGTTTGGGTTTTACTTTTGCACTGAAGGCCGGAAGTAACTTTCAGTAGTCTCTATATTGTGAGATCCTATGTCTAAACGAAATAAACAAGAAAATCAAATTTCTTTATTAGCACATGCAGATTGCAAAGGGCATAACAGAAGTAGCTTTCTAGTCTCTCTTACAGACCCTGATACAAATATATATCAAATACAGCCCATGCAAGTCTATAATGTTTGGCAAGTCTAGATTACTGCAGATTTCTGAAAATGAAGAGTCACTGGGCTCCCTTTTATTATATTTTTATTAAGATAACTGAACAACTGTTTTTTCTGTACGATATGTTCATTTCAGAGACTAGATGTTAGTCTAGTAGCTTTCCAGGAAGCATGTTTTCCAGATTAACAGGATCTTTTGTTTGTTTGTTTCTTGTTTAATGCCGCACTCAGCAATATTCCAGCCATATGACGGCGGTCTGTTAATAATCGAGTCTGGACCAGACAATCCAGTGATCAACATCATGAGCATTGATCCACGCAATTGGGATACGATGACATGCATCAACCATGTCTGCGAGGCTGACCACCTCATTCTGTTAGTTGCCTCTTAAGACTAGCATAGTTGCCTTTTACGGCAAGCATGGGTTGCTGAAGACCTATTCTATCACAGATCTTCACGGGTGGGTCATTAACAAGATCTGGATTAACAGAGTTAGTACTCATTCGTGACCAACTCGTGTTATTCCGGAACAAGCCGAAAAGCGACTCGTGCCCCTCTCATGGGCATTTTTGCGACCAGGCTCCGTCTTAGCACAAACGGGTATACCTCAAACAATTTCAACTTGTTGCGTACTGGTTCACACATCTTTACCAATATATTATATATATTTCAGATACAATTTAAAGCACAGCTGGACATGCGGAATTATACAGTATGGCTGAACACATTTAACTGTGTCTTGGGTATATTTTTAGATGCAAGACATATGTAAAATCAAAAATTATTTCTGAGGGATTCTTTGACGAAGAACTTGAAATCATATGCGCATTCTGATTGGTTTGTCATATTTTAGCACATAACATTCATCGATAGGGGGACGAGTCTTCTTGCAGGTTACGGAAAGGGGCGAGTGGTGACGAATGAGATAGTACTGTATGTGTACATAGATACCAGTGGTCAGACATGCACTTACTGTGTATCTTTGTTGACCAAGTTGTTGAACTTGATGAAGATGTCTTGTCTGCCAAGATGAAGAATGAGGAAGTAGACAACTAGCGCCACCGACATCTCGGCTAGCTTGATGATGAAGCTGAGGTGGACGAAGACACTGCATGATGTCAGCCCCAGCATAAAACTCAGGATGTAGTACTAGAAGACAACAAAGATATCACAATCAACACAGATACTCTCCACTATTTCTACATTCAAAACAGCCAGTGTGGTATGATGCCATGAGCACTATGGGAAATGAACTTTCTGGAATAATTTTCAAAAGGCATTGTTATATAACCATTTCCATTCTCTCCCAATGACCTCAACGATTAAAAGAAATCCTTACAAGTGGATAGTCACAGCTGCTTTCACCGAGTATTGGCACCATGGAGGAAGAGTTTGTCGACTCCGACATGTGAAGTTCTGTATTGCAGGAAATCTGAAGAATATACAGAACATTAGACTTAAATTAGTCCCAGAAATAAGGTTATCTCATTTAAAAAACATATATCTACAAAATAAACACACACGCTTGCGTTTGCTTCACACAAAATGGTGGCGCCGAGTCAGGACGATCTGATCGATAATCAAGATCTATATTGTGATAAAACGGTTCTTACATCGCGCAATGCTTCAAATCAAGTGAGCACCTTGATTAAAAACATGAAAAGATTTGGAAAATATCTGCTGATAACGAGTTGGCGGTGCTCATGTTTTGCAAATCCTGCAATCGACTGAAATCTGAACGACAGTTTACGAACCGGATTTTTTATTTCGGTGCGCGATTTTGATTGGACTATGCATAGACTCGTTAGTCCAGCCAAAATGTAACTCCATAATACCAGCCTAGTTTGGCAAGGGTGGAAACTGGTCTTTTATAGTCAGTTAGCTCTCTTGCCATGGGAAGATGTATAGGTATTGAGCAGATTGATACTGGACACACTGAAGATGACCTATGTGTTACTGACCAGGGGTCATTGCCCAAAGCGATTGTTGTGCTGCAACTGTTGTATGTCTGTGTTAAAGTGGAGGAGTTATGATAGGAGTAGTGCAAGGATCATCTAGAGAAACAGGGTTCAGACAGATACTGAACACATCCGACAGAGGAACCCAGACACCATCATCATGAGACAAGGACTGACTGTAAAAGTCCAGTTTCCACCATTGCCGAACTAGGCTGGTATTTCTTGGCACAACCAGTAGCTATGTGGCTATGAGTTATGTGCCTGCTATGTCCTTCCTATTGATTACCGTATTCGACGTAATAAGCGCCCGGGGCGCTCTCAAAATTAGAAATAGGGGGCTCTTATTAGAATATTATTTTGGTGAAAAAAACATAGATGAAAGATAAATTTCGTGGTTTATGCTGACAGCCTGAAGTGTTTATATGCGACAGATATATTTTTCCAGAATTTAATTGCCCATAATTAAGGGTGTATATAACACACGAGTGCGTATTATACGCGAATAAATAAGTCCTTTGTACATTGATCAATCGGAAGGGATGCAAATTGGGCTTGTTCACTAGCCAATATATCAGCAAATATCGCCGTGGGCGCTTATTAGAGCGGGGCGCTTATTACGTCGAATACGGTAATCAGATTCCATCTCTCATACCCAACCCAGACACCATCTTCAGGACTGACTGTAAAAGTCCAGTTTCCACTATTGCCGAACTAGGCTGGAATTTCTTGGCACTATCGTATCACAACCAATGGCTATTACGAGTTATGTCCCTTCTATGTCCTTCCTATTGATTAATTAGATTCTACTTCTCATATCACTTGCATTTTCTTAGAATAAAATGGTGATCTGATAAAGACCATCTGATCGATAAAGATCTATTTTCTTATAATAAAATGGGTCTTACTTTGCGAAGTGCATCAAATCAAGTGAGCATCTTGATTAAAAACATGAAAAGATTTGGAAAATATATATTGACGCTAAGTTGACGGTACACATGCTTTACAAATCCTGAAATCGACCTAAATCTGCATGCATGACTATGCATAGACTCGTTAGTCAAGGGTGGAAACTGGACTTTTACATTCGTGATCAACTCATGTTATTCCGTGACAAGCCGAATAGCGACTCGTGCCCGGGCTCTCCTGGCTATTTTTGTGACCGGGTTCCGTCTTAGCGTAATGGTTCACACATTTTCCCCATATATTATATATATTTCAGATACAGTTTAAAGCACATCGGGATGTGCGGAATTATACAGTATGATTGAACACATTTAACTGTGTCTTTGGTATATTTTTAGATGCAAGACATATGTAAAATCAAAAATATTTCTGAGGGATTCTTTGACGAAGAACTTGAACTCATACGCGCATTCTGATTGGTTTGTCGTATTTTCGCACACAACATTCATCGATAGGGGGACGAGTCTTCATGCAGGTTACGGAAAGGGGCGAGTGGTGACTTATGTGGACTTTTATAGCCAGTTAATTCCCTTGCCTCAGGAAGATGTCCAGACAGGTGCTGGGGGAGATCTCGAGGTACTCACCAGACTGATACTGGAGGCAAAGAGGATGAGGCTGGTACAGCAGACAGAAATGACCAAACGGAGACAGGTGCTATAGGTGATGCATCGGCTGAACTTGACCAACACACTGACCAACTTGTTGCCAAAAGACTGTTCAAACAGAAAAAAAACAATACTGATATTAGAGACTCCACATTTACCAGTATAGGATTTTCAAAGACAAGACAATGTCTGTTAGGAGTGTTTTCAGAATGGACACGACTCATCACAAGGAGTATTTTGGATAGAAACTGATGGTAACCATGGTAACAGTATGCTTACTATTGTCAATATTTTGGCATTTCACCTCTAAAAACTATCGATGGTCTAGCATGGGATCGATGTCAAATAGAGGTTTACTAGCTGGACAGTAATATATCAATCTCATAAAAATCAGATTGTTTATTCCGGTTTGATACCTCTGTGCATGAAGCTTTGAGTGAGTGAGTGAGTATGGTTTTACGCCGCTTTTAGCAATATTCCAGCAATATCACGGCAGGGGACACCAGAAATGGGCTTCACACATTGTACCCATGTCGGGAATCGAACCCGGGTCTTCGGCGTGACGAGCGAACGCTTAAACCACTAGGCTTCCCGACCGCCCCAGAATCTCTGAGGACCCCTCAGGTTTGTTTGTTTGTTTGTTTAATGCCTCACTCAGCAATATTCCAGCTATATGATGGCAGTCTGTAAATAATCGAGTCTGGACCAGACAATACAGTGATTGACATCATGAGTCCAAGTGATTGGGATATGATGACATGCATCAACCAAGTCAGTGAGCCTGACCACCCAATCCCGTTAGTCGCCTCTTACGACAAGCATCGTCCCCTTTTTCGGCAAGCATGGGTTGCTGAAGACCTTTCTAATCAGCCAATGTAAATTCTTGGTATGAGTGAGCAAAGTGTCCAGACAATCATATCTGATTTTTGTACCATGAAAATTAAAATAAACATTCCACGTTTTATTTGAGAACCAGACAAGTGACATCAATCCTAATTTGATTGGCAGCTATTTTTTTAAAATGTGGTGTTAATGGGTCAGGGTTTATTTAAGACATAAATGACGAGTGGGCGTTGTTTATCGTACAATAAAACACTGCAGGGGAATAAACCATGAGGGGCACAGCCTCGAGTGGTTTATTCTTCTTGCAGTGTTTTATTGTACCATAAACAAAGACCACGAGTGGTTTACTTCTTAAATAAACCCTGACCCATTATATATCAACATTATGTGCAAGCTCATTAAGGATGTCAATAAAATCTACAAGCTTTAAAAATATTTACCCCCATTTAAATAATGATGACTCCCTGAATACAATCTGACTTCGGCAATGTCGGACAAGTCCATTTTTGAAAATGGGGGTAAGTCTGGTATTTCCTGGATATTCTCACAATTTTCACACCAATTATCTGTACCTTTTCTCCCAATACCAATACCACGCCTCCCATCTCGCCCACATTTGGATGCGATCATTCAGCCATAGCATTTATCTGCTTTTTCCAGCAACATCTGGGGGCGGTCGGGTGGCCTAGTGGTTAAAGCGTTCGCGCGTCACGCCAAAGACCCGGGTTCGATTCCCGACATGGGTACAATGTGTGAAGCCCATTTCTGGTGTCCCCTGCCGTGATATTGCTGGAATATTGCTAAAAGCGGCATAAAACCATACTCACTCACTCACTCACTCCAGCAACATCTATGGGGAACAACTCACTAGACACTTCCCTCTCAAATATAACGTTGTCCGATTTACGACATCATCAAAGATACTAGCATATGTTCGAATGTCGAGAAATGACATCATGATAGAACAATGTTTTATTGTGAAATAAACCACACTATGCTCTTCATTGTTCCTTGCGATTTATTGCGTAGCTATCTTATACATAATAATAGAATGGAGATATAATACACTTGATAAATGGGGATAGGTGAAATTCGGAACACTCACAATGCAGACTTCGGCAAATTGTATCACAGATATAAGCCCAAAGGTCACGACCCCCAAGATTCCAACTACCAGTAGCGGAATATCTCTGAAAAAAAGAGAGCAGACTTGCATAAATGGATATGTTTACTTTGGAATATATTGGGATCTGCAAGGATTCCAGATCAAAAACAAAAAAACAGTGGTTGTTTTGGGGAGCCGCCGTCTTGTTTTCCAAAACAAGGTATTTTTTTCAATGTGGAATCCTTATTCAAAGTTAACTTTGGACGAAAAATAAATACTCGAGGTAAGTGATTAAGAAACAGATTGGCATGTAGTTTTTACAATTATTTTACAATTTGAAGCCAGTCGGAGATGTCAAAATCTTACAGCCCACAAAGACAGTCTTTCCTGTAGCTCATATAGGAAAACTGTCCGCTTGTACTAGTCTGGACTAATGCTGGTTTTATAGCACTGGCCCATGCCACAGTTTAACATGAATACCCCACGCAGACATAGTTTACTGACTATGTCCTTGTTTTAGCCACTTAATGCTGAGTGCCAGGCAGGGTAACAATAAGTACTATCTTTTAACGTCTTTTGGTACGAAGTGGCTGGGGTTCGAACGCCTTTCCTTCCACTCTCCCCGGATGGACACTCTACCACTAGACCATGGAGGCGCTCTGATATTAAAGAACAGATGGGGGATGTGGAAGGTGGGGGATGTGGTAGTGGGGATGTGGTAGGTGGGGGATGTGGTAGTCGGGGATGTGGTAGTCGGGGATGTGGTAGGTGGGGATGTGGTAGGTGGGGGATGTGGTATGTGGGGGATGTGGAAGGTGGGGATGTGGTAGGTGGGGGATGTGGTATGTGGGGGATGTGGTATGTGGGGATGTGGTATGTGGGGATGTGGTATGTGGGGATGTGGAAGGTGGGGATGTGGTAGGTGGGGGATGTGGTATGTGGGGGATGTGGTAGGTGGGGGATGTGGTATGTGGGGATGTGGAAGGTGGGGATGTGGTATGTGGGGGATGTGGTATGTGGGGATGTGGTATGTGGGGATGTGGTATGTGGGGATGTGGAAGGTGGGGATGTGGTAGGTGGGGGATGTGGTAGGTGGGGATGTGGTAGGTGGGGATGTGGTATGTGGGGATGTGGTAGGTGGGGATGTGGTATGTGGGGGATGTGGAAGGTGGGGGATGTGGTAGGTGGGGATGTGGTATGTGGGGATGTGGAAGGTGGGGATGTGGTAGGTGGGGGATGTGGAAGGTAGGGATGTGGTAGGTGGGTATATGGTAGGTGGGGGATGTGGTAGGTGGGGATGTGGTATGTGGGGATGTGGAAGGTGGGGATGTGGTAGGTGGGGGATGTGGAAGGTAGGGATGTGGAAGGTGGGGATGTGGTAGGTGGGGGATGTGGAAGGTAGGGATATGGTAGTCGGGGATGTGGTATGTGGGGATGTGGTAGGTGGGGATGTGGAAGGTAGGGATGTGGTAGGTGGGGGATGTGGAAGGTAGGGATGTGGAAGGTGGGGATGTGGTAGGTGGGGGATGTGGAAGGTAGGGATATGGTAGTCGGGGATGTGGTAGTCGGGGATGTGGTAGTCGGGGATGTGGTAGTCGGGGATGTGGTAGGTGGGGATGTGGTAGGTAGGGATGTGGTAGTCGGGGATGTGGTAGTCGGGGATGTGGTAGGTAGGGATGTGGTAGTCGGGGATGTGGTTGTCGGGGATGTGGTTGTCGGGGATGTGGTAGGTGGGGGATGTGGTAGGTGGGTATATGGTAGGTGGGGATGTGGTAGTCGGGGATGTGGTACGTGGGGGATGTGGTAGTCGGGGATGTGGTAGGTGGGGGATGTGGTAGGTGGGTATATGGTAGGTGGGGATGTGGTAGTCGGGGATGTGGTACGTGGGGGATGTGGTAGTCGGGGATGTGGTAGGTGGGGGATGTGGTAGGTGGGTATATGGTAGGTGGGGATGTGGTATGTGGGGATGTGGTAGGTGGGTATATGGTAGGTGGGGATGTGGTAGTCGGGGATGTGGTACGTGGGGGATGTGGTAGTCGGGGATGTGGTAGGTGGGGATGTGGTATGTGGGGATGTGGTAGGTGGGGATGTGGTATGTGGGGATGTGGTAGGTGGGTATATGGTAGGTGGGGATGTGGTAGTCGGGGATGTGGTACGTGGGGGATGTGGTACGTGGGGGATGTGGTAGGTGGGGATGTGGAAGGTGGGGATGTGGTAGGTTGGGATGTGGTAGGTAGGGATATGGTAGTCGGGGATGTGGTAGGTGGGGATGTGGTACGTGGGGGATGTGGTAGGTGGGTATGTGGTAGGTGGGGATGTGGTAGGTGGGGATGTGGTAGGTGGGGGATGTGGTAGTCGGGGATGTGGTAGTCGAGGATGTGGTAGTCGAGGATGTGGTAGGTGGGTATATGGTAGGTGGGGATGTGGTAGGTGGGTATATGGTAGGTGGGGATGTGGTAGTCGGGGATGTGGTAGGTAGGGATATGGTAGTCGGGGATGTGGTAGGTGGGGATGTGGTAGTCGGGGATGTGGTAGTCGAGGATGTGGTAGTCGGGGATGTGGTAGTCGGGGATGTGGTAGTCGGGGATGTGGTAGTCGGGGATGTGGTAGTCGGGGATGTGGTAGTCGGGGATGTGATAGGTGGGGATGTGGTAGTCAGGGATGTGGTAGGTGGGGATGTGGACGTCGGGGATGTGGTAGTCGGGGATGTGGTAGTCGGGGATGTGGTAGGTGGGGTTGTGGTAGGTGGGGATGTGGTAGTCGGGGATGTGGTAGGTGGGGATGTGGTAGGTGGGGATGTGGTAGTCGGGGATGTGGTAGGTGGGGATGTGGTAGGTGGGGATGTGGTAGTCGGGGATGTGGTAGGTAGGGATATGGTAGTCGGGGATGTGGTAGGTGGGGATGTGGTAGTCGGGGATGTGGTAGGTGGGGATGTGGTAGTCAGGGAAGGGACGTCGGGGACGTACCTGGGCAGCATGATGGCTTGGATGATGATGACAGAGAGGAAGATTAGGGCACAGCAGGCCACCTGGTACTTGAACATCAGGTCAGCCTGGTGCATGTAACTGTGTTCCTGTTGCTGCTGCTTGAACGTCAGGATCACCCTGTTCACATCGGTGTTGTTCGGAAGACACCTGGTGGTCATACAAGGAATATTTTAATCACTCGCCAACTCACCCAAACCCACATAGAATAATGTTGCCTGAGCTCACTTCACTACAACATGACTGAAAGAGGCTGATATCTTGTTGGCTGCAATTGGATGACACTAAACACAGCATACCTAGGTTAATAATTCTTATTTATAGGAATGAAAACAAATAGCAGACTACATAGTCAGAATTAACATCAGCAGAAAAGTTGTCATAATTTTATCACTCGCATCAAACATTCAAGGTATGGTCATGTGTCCATGTTTATTTATATTTGTAATTAAGGTAGTTTGTTTGTTGTTAAACGCCGCACTCAACAATATTCTAGCTATATGACGGCAGTCTGTAAATAATCAAGTCTGGACCAGACAACCCAGTGATTAAGATCATGAGCATCGATCCACGCAATTGGGATCGATGACATGCATCAACCAAGTCAGCGAGCCTGACCACCCGATCCCGTTAGTCGCCTTTTACGGCAAGCATAGTCAACTTTTACAGCAAGCATGGGTTGCTGAAGACCTATTAAGGATGCGACACATGCACCTATAATCAGAAATGGTAGATTTGTTCCATATCTTTTGGCCAATTTCTGTTGGCTAAAAGTGCTAGGCTTGCTGAACAAACCATCCGTTGAACCAGTTAAACATTTACCACACACACACACACACACTCTGTCTCAGTCAGAATGGTTAACGTATGATGTACTACTGGGCACTGACCTCCCACCCCCGAGTTGGTCAAGGCGTTTACCCAGCTCCACCTTCACTTCCTGTTGTAGATACATGTCTCCTGACAACAGACTGCTGCAAACAGAACAGGATCAGAGTTATGTCCCTTGATGTGTTTTCAAGAGATGAAATGCATGCCTCCCACAGCTGAGAGTATATTGGGACAAAAGAACTAAAACAAAATTCTTTGACTTTGTCTTGTATACAAGAGTTATCTCCCTTGATGTGTTTTCAAGAAATGAAATGTATCCCACAGTTGACGATAATTTATGTCTCAGTACACAAGATTAAATTTTAAAAATTTATTTTTACACTTTAAGAAATGTTATCTTCAAAATGATTATGAAACACTCATTATTAATGAGAATATTTTTTTATGGGTAGTTATTTCATTAATAATTAATAATAGTATTTTTTTTTTATTGAATTATGGGAATTCAATGCCACATGATAACATTTTCTTGTCCAGGACACACCTTTGATCCAGTCCGCTTGAATTAATGATGAAATTTGTATCCACTAAGGCCAGACTCTGTTGGAAATAAGGCAAATGTTTATCAGTAAAACATATTCAACATGAAAATGAGTGAGATTGCCATAGTGCTGCTTTTAACAGGTATATGATGGTGTGTCTGCTTATCATAGGAGGAAAGCCCAAAGTGAAACAGGTCTTTGATGTTTAGGGAATGGTCATTTATTATTGGGGGTTAGGCTGGTCATGAATCCCACACCCCTCCCTGTAATAAATGACCAGTCCCAAAATAATGTTCCAATTTATTAAAAAAACACACAAAAAAACATTTGAAAAGTAAAAATAGAGCTTGTTCATTAAATCTAAAATACCAGTGCGATAATCAAAAGAAATAGTAAAACCCATTACACTCAAACCTTGTTATCTCGAAAACCGTTATCTCGAATGTACCGATATTTCGACCCTATCCTCTCTCCCAACCCCCTCACCATATCTCTATCATGCCTCATTATCTCGAATATCCTGATATCTCTAAATTACTCCATGGTCCTGTTAGGTTTGAGATAATGGGTTTAACTGTAATTTGAATTAAATAACAAATAAATTATCATCTCAAATATTGAACAATAGATAGTTATCTAATGCTTCTAAATGAAATAAAATTTCTAGCTTTTTAATATTACAAAGGTGCAAAAAGTAATAATAGAGTTTTAAACTTTTGCTGTTAGATCTTCATCGATACATTTCCATGTACATAGCCTAAATGCAAGGCAAAAGATAGTATATACTTGAAAATTCGAATTTGAACACACAAAAAATTACTAGGCTGCAAACAGTCGCCGAAACACTGCACACTTCACCATCAAATAACCCTTTCTTGATTGCTTCATATATAACCAACATAAAACATGGGTATATATTTTTTCTCTCAGCTGTTCATCCATTCATTGGAAGATGTAGGTGTAGAACTTACTGTGAGACTGAGGACTCGAGACACCATGGACGTAGACTGGAGGTTGGCGAAGGGTTTGTCTATACCCCAGGTCTCTAAGTACTTGGTGACTTTTAATGAGGCTCGCATCGTGTGTTCAAATCTTGTCCTCGCCAGCTTCTGTCTCCTTGGCTGGAAAATGAAAAAATCATGTTGCATAACCATTCAAGATGCCAAATCTTATTATTGTTGAATTTGTTAATTCAGTTATGAATAATGTGTTTTCATCGAAAATTGTTTTACCAGCTTGTAATAATTTTTAGAATAATTTTAGTTTTTTTCATACTAATGAACACACATTTATATCGATGAGGAAAACTTTGTTCAACAGGTTGATCTTGTCCTGAGATAGATAAGGAATTAATCATGTGACTTGCATACAGGATAACTGATTTATTTACAGTTAGATATGAGAATGTAATGGGAAGTCATCGTAAATCCTGACATTAATCGAGATCAGATACACCTTGTGTAATGCTAAAGATAGCACACCAAGACATCAATAAGACTAATTTCACAGCAATGAGGGGCGGTCTGGTAGCCTAGTGGTTAAAGCGTTTGCTCGTTACGCCGAAGACCCGGGTTTGATTCCCGATATGGGTACAATGTGTGAAGCCCATTTGAGTCCCCCGCCATGATATTGCTGGAATATTGCTAAAAGTGGCGTAAAACCAAACTCACTCACTCACAGCAATGAAGGTGAAGTGAAATGGGGTTAAACGTCATGTAGCAATGTGCATGGACTTGTGTGTGTGGCTGCTTGTACTAGTCCGAACTTATGCTGGTTTTATGGTGCTATTGCGCTGCGATACAATGCCGCATTTAACATGAATACCCCACTCAGACACTGTATTCTGACTCCGAATTGACCAGTCATTGTTTTAGCCCTTAATGCTAAGCGCCAGGCAGGGCAACAACAAGTACCATCTTTTAAAGTCTTTTTGTATGATGCGACAGGATCAAACCACCGACCTTCCACTCTCTGGATAGATGTTCATCCACTAGTTTGCAGCAATGCATAAAGCAAAGAGTTCTTATCAGAAAGTGAAAACTGTGATCATTCAGATGTGATCTTTTACCATACGTGAAACTTTATCTCTATTCGACTGAAGTGTATATGAACAACTGCTTCTGTGACATGGTGCTGTGTGCTACAGTTCAATATAGAAAAGCAGTGATAAGAGTTAGTTGTCCGTCTTACGGTATCCTCCAAACTCTCTCTGTCCCATAATTCCTCATCTGCCTGTCAATGATAGTCACCATAGTTCAAAGACAACAAAATGTTTCAGATGCCAAAACTGTTTTTAACACACAAGGTCTGCCTGTGTCATACAAGAATTATACCTGGAAGAGGTAACAAAAATAACTTGTACTAAAATGTGTTGAGATTTTTTTAAATGTTATAGTAATTCAGACACATATGAGAAATTAAAATATTAACAAGAGTTTGCCACTAATGTGGCTATATCCCCCGCCCCTGTTGCAGAATTTATGACAAAATTAAATCTTAACAAACCCTAACCTTTTTTAACGGAGGTGGAATTTGTCATGGAAATTGTAAAAAAAAAAAGAGTTTGGAACCTAAGTCCATCTTGTTGCCATGGAAACATAAAAATAAAAATTTCTAAAATTTCTAAGTAGCAAAAGGCACCAGTTCAGCATGTACTTGACAGACCTGCAAAGTTTCATGAAAAAATATTGAATGGTTTCTGAGTTATGCTCCGGAAACGAAACGTGACGGACGAATGTACGGATGGACGGAGCCCGTTTCTATATCCCCTACAAACTTTGTTGTGAGGGGGATAATAAACATTTATTCCCACAGTTTTAATGAGTATGAGACAAAATATATAGAATCCATTAGGTGATATCTTATCAAAAAGAGTTTGAGGATCTGCTGAAAAGTTGGAAAACAAGTAAATCTGAAATGCAATAAGGCCAAACGAACATTTCCCCACACAATTACTTTGTCTTACTGCATGATCATCAAGACATGTTTAACACTGCATACAATCTGCTCAACACTGCTTACAACCTCCTCAACACTGCATACAACCTGCTTAACACTGCATACAACCTGCTTAACACTGCATACAACCTGCTAAACACTGCTTACAATCTGCTCAACACTGCTTACAACCTGCTTAACACTGCATACAACCTGCTTAACACTGCATACAACCTGCTTAACACTGCATACAACCTGCTTAACACTGCTTACAATCTGCTCAACACTGCTTACAACCTGCTCAACACTGCATACAACCTGCTTAACACTGCTTACAATCTGCTCAACACTGCTTACAACCTGCTTAACACTGCTTACAATCTGCTCAACACTGCTTACAATCTGCTCAACACTGCTTACAATCTGCTCAACACTGCCCTACAATCTGCTCAACACTGCTTACAACCTGCTCAACACTGCTTACAATCTGCTCAACACTGCTTACAACCTGCTCAACACTGCTTACAATCTGCTCAACACTGCTTACAACCTGCTCAACACTGCTTACAATCTGCTCAACACTGCTTACAATCTGCTCAACACTGCATACAACCTGCTTAACACTGCATACAACCTGCTCAACACTGCTTACAATCTGCTCAACACTGCATACAACCTGCTCAACACTGCTTACAACCTGCTCAACACTGCTTACAATCTGCTCAACACTGCTTACAATCTGCTCAACACTGCTTACAATCTGTTTAACACTGCTTACAACTGCTTATAACTTGTTTCACACTGTGTACAACCTGCTAATAATTTGCTAAACACTGTATACAATCTGTTTAACACTGCTTACAACTGCTTATAACTTGTTTCACACTGTGTACAACCTGCTAATAATTTGCTAAACACTGTATACAATCTGTTTAACACTGCTTACAACTGCTTATAACTTGTTTCACACTGTGTACAACCTGCTAATAATTTGCTAAACACTGTATACAATCTGCTTAACACTGCTTACAACTGCTTATAACTTGTTTCACACTGTGTACAACCTGCTAATAATTTGCTTAACACTGCATACAATCTGCTTAACACTGCTTACAACTGCTTATAACTTGTTTTACACTGCTTGACACTGTTTACAACCTGCTTAACACTGCTTACATGGCAACATTCTCAGACAACTGTTTGATTAACAATTTTGAATTTGTCCAGGATGTTTTTTCTTAATCTGGAAACTAAAAATAAAATATGAATAAAATCTGTCTAAATGGCACGGGGCACCACTTTCATGAGCTGAATATGATATTAGCTTGGTACATGATTCCTATGAATTACACACAAGAACTAGAACAACTTAGTAAGGTTAAAAAATAGACCATCCTCAATAATACAGGTTATTTTTTCTCCATTCTATTAAGACCCAATACCCAGAACCCCTTTGCTTTGGATTACCATAGCTCCATTTTGAGCCTCATTCAAACAATTGAGTGCCAATATGGTTGTTCTGCTGTTTTAGCAATATTCTAGCCATATCCTAGAGGGGGACTCCAGAAATGGGCTTCACACATTGTACCAATTTGTGGCATCAAACCTGGGTCTTTGGCAAGAGGGCAGTGGGGTAGCCCAGTGGTTAAAGCGTTCGCTCATCACGCTGAAGACCCTGGTTATATTCCCCACATGGGTACAATGTGTGAAGCCCATTTCCGGTGTCCCCCACGATGTTGCTGGACCTGTTTCAAAACGGAATGGAGATACAGTACCCTGGATGATAAAGGATGATAAAGGATGGTAAAGGATGAAAGGATATCCAATTAGCAAATAAAAGGTCATAAATGAACGTCTCACTCACCCTCCTCTCGAAAGGCACGACAAGGAAGGTCTTCATGTTGTTATCGGCGATGAAGCGACTCCGAGTATCGGCGTTGCCAGGCTCCACCTCATACTGTCCCCCAAGACTGTCGAGGGTCTGCTGGGAGATGTGAACACGTCTGGGGGTAGGGGGAGAGAATGTCAACAGTCGAGACAAAAGCTGATGACATCTTATGTCCCTTTGGTAACATTGTCATATTGAAGAAAATCTTACAGGACGTTGAAAGTAATGAAAAATGTTTTATGTCAAATTTGGTAAAATTTGTCCAGAAAATCAATTGATGGGACATCCTTTTCCCTAGTGTCATGGTCGTACGTTTATAATGAACACGCTTATAACATGCTGATAGACATAACGAACTGTTTTTATGGTCCGGGGACCCATTCCACAAAGGTATCGTAGCGCTACGACAGTCGTAAGTCTATGTATGATTGTCTTAGCGCTACGATCGCTTTGTGGAACAGGGCCCTTGTCATTTGCTGTATATTTTATCAAATAAAATTGTTGGAGATAACAGACACGCTTATAACAAAATAATAGAAATAGCAAAATCACTCTGTGGTCCCTTGTGTACTCAATGTCAATGTTTATGGTAACAACAAATTATTAATCTCTGCTACTGCTCACCAATCTGCCTATCAAAACATCCACGGCCACGCGCAGCTGTTCAAAGTGGCTACCGGTATAAATAATTGAAGGAATCCGATGAACTCAATTTACACCCTCACTTAACAAAAGTAAAACAGTGGCCGAATCTGCAAACCCAAGGTTTTTTAAAATGTTCGAGTCAATTACAAATTCAACTCCAAAATCGTCCGCAAATGGGTGATCCGGTTTGACAAGTCTATGGCAGGTGACACTTCTGTCCGTATGTCAATGAAACTGTGTTAATAATATATTTATGATATGTATTTACTTGTTAAGTATTTTATGTCATTTATGAGATTAATGAAAATAGGACATTGAAATGCTTATAATAAACTACGGTTATAACAATCTAAAATAAGTGGTCCCTTTGAGTTTATTATAACCGTAGATTACTGTACATTGATCAATGTTGGTTATATCTTTTATTGGTCAAATGATGAGCCCTACCAAATGTTTGCAAAAATGAAAAAAATATATGAAAAAAGTGTTGGGTATTGATTTATGTGTTTTTTAAACATCAGTTGTTTGTATCTTTGTTTCCTCACCCAGGCACTCCGGACGACTCCATGTGGTTGGCGATGGTTACATCATCAGACCACACGTCATACTGCCACTTTCTCCGCCCCAGAACTCCACACAGCACTGTGCCTGTGTGAACTCCAATACGCATGTCTACATTCACACCAGTTGCCTCCCTCACTTCCCTGTGTGGAAAATAACTGTCATTAGTACATTGTCCCATTCGTGACCAACTTGTATTATTCCGGGACAAGCCGAATTGCCACTCGTGCCCCTCTTGTGGTCATTTTTGTGACTGGGTTCCGTCTAAGCCATAATGGGCATAGCTAAAAGAATTGTCAACTCGTTGCGTAATTCACGTATATTTCCTCCATATATCATATATATTCAAGAAGCTATTTAAAACACATCAGGGACACCAGAAATGGGCTTCACACATTGTACCCAATGTGGAGAATCGAACATGAGCTTTCAGGGTGATGAGTGAAGGCTTCAACCACTAGGCTACCCCACCGCCCCACACACATCTGAATCTCAATATCAAAAAGTTATTTCATATAATGTATAATACAAAAATAATGTATACAAAAATAATGTATAATACAAAAAAACCGTACAATACAAAAAAAATGCTTAAAATGAAAATAATGTCAAATATAAAAATTATGTTTAAGCTTCACGTGTCTTCCATGCACAATTTCTGCTAGCAGTTTTCTACTGACCTGATAGCTTCAATCATGCGGAGCCCCATGCGGACACAGTTGGCAGCATTGTCCTTGTCTGCGGAGGGAATCCCAGACACGCAGTAGTAGCAGTCCCCCAGAATTTTGATCCGCATGCAGTTGCTCTTCTGAAATGAGTCAGTGAGTTTGGTTTAACACTATGAACAATATTTCAGTTATATTACTTTGGTTGGTTCAGTTTGATGTGAGAGGAAAGCAGGTCAGTCATACAGGTCTTTAACCTGGTGAAATTTTACCCACAGGTATAGTGCTTATAAACCTGAAAACATAACCAGGTCAAAAATGACTTCGAACCCACAACCATAAGCTTCATGCACTCTGTAAGGATGCTTATAAGGACAGATTACTTTGGATGACAGGGCCATCCATACTGCTCCTTTGGAAAGGAAGTGCATCTCAGGACAGATCATCTTCCCGAGGCAAGAGCGTCCACAAGTGTTCTATCAAAGTCTTGTTTTGACCCATGCCACGTCAAGCCCACTTCCCTGTGCTAAATATGATTGGACTATCCCACATATTGATAGTCCAATCAGAGAAGGCTTCACAAAACCACGACTGATACACCAACATATCTTTTAAACACCCAATAATTTCATTTAGTGCTTCTCACTAAATGGGTTTATTGAAACCATAATGCACCTCTTTGTATGCCTCTGTTACATCATTTCCTCTTCCAATCTCCCGCCACTTACATTATAATTCTACTTCCTATGACGTCATCAAACTTTCTCTTGCGTCATCACCATCGTCCGTTAGTTCTGTCAAAATTTTCTGTACCCAGTTTTTGTACAGCAATTCTCAACTTTTGGCTCCCACCCACCCTACCCCTAGCCTGCCACATTCATATTCTCTCAATCAATCTTGTGTACATATATGGCACAGGGCAAACTATGTATATTGCTTATTTATTCAATAAATGTTATAGGTGGGCGTGGTTCTTGTTGGCTACAAATGTAAATACTTACTTAATCACCAAGTAATTATCAAAATTATCAGGTCCCTGCTCTTAAGCGGGATTCTGTTCGGTCCCCCTGCTTCTCAGCGGATGGGAACCTTAACTTAACTTAATTCATGTCTGCTTTTCAGCTGAAACTTAGTATTTTGCTGCCGGCAACATAGTTGCCCATTGCTGCTGCTGCTTGCTGCTTGCTGGTAACTCAAGTTGCCAAATATAAGTCATTATAATAATAGCTTAGGGCAGCCCCTTTCTTATTTCTCTTGCCTTGTCAACTTTGACAAGGCAGGTTACTTTGCATGGGGTGTTTCAATAATTGCTATGTTTCTGTGTCAGGGATGAAATCACGAATGTTTTCGTTATCTGATCAACTTAATCATTTTTGTGAAGCTGTACAAGATAAGGACAACGATCTGATTGGATATCGCGTTTTCATTACAAGGGGCACAACTCTTGATCTACGCGAGGTGGCGCCAGGGTTGAGCCAAGGAAAGTGGGCTTGATGTGCCAAGGGTAGAAACTAGGCTTTCATATAGGCTAGTGGACACGCCTGCCTCGGGATGATGAGGACAGATAAATTTAATTTCTTTAATGGACATTCCAACCTTTATTTACAAGTAAACAAAACTTTTATGCCTATAAACATGAACAAGCAATTATTAAAAAAGTTCTGTGTAAACTGCTGCTTCAGGTGACAAACTGTACAACATAATTGTGACGCTTTAATTTGATCAGCAAATAGAGATGAGTATATGATCACAAGTATGGTGATGTTTTTAGTGTTAATTTTTTTAGCAAATACCCAGCATATCTGCGCCCACTTGCACAAAGCAATCCTAGCGCTGAGATGATCGTAACTGCCAAAATTTAACATAGGCTAAGATAGTCTTAGCGCTAAGATCACTTTGTGCAAGTGGGCCCTCTGGAGTGTTAAGCAATGAAGTTAAAGCAATACCTTGGCGAGTTGATCAAATCTGCCAAACAGCTCATTCAGCATTTTAACAAGTTCAGCTGCTGTGCAGTCGGAGGCCAGTGGTGTGAAGTTGACAATATCTGCGTACAGGATGCTGCAAGTAGAAACAGCTGCTTCATCCAAGGTCCAGGAAACACAAAGTGCATTGTCAGTACTTCATAGTTTGTATGCACTACCCTCCTCCATCACCGGCGAATACATATGAATACATACCATGGGCGGAAAAAATCTTTATTTCTGTATAAATTACCACCAAAGACAATAAAAGGATCTTAATTGTGCACCCCCCCTTTTCAAAAAAGCTGTATCCGCCCATGCATACGGCTTCTATGCATTGTAGTTTTTGTTTGTTTGTTTGTTGTTTAACTCCACACTCAGCAATATTCCATCTATATGACGGCGGTCTGTAAATAGTCAAGTCGGGACCATACAATCTAGTGATTGACATCATGAGCATCGATCCACGCAATTCAGGTACGATGACACGCATAAACCAAGTCAGCGAGTCTGACCACCCGATCCCGTTAGTAGCCTCTTACGCCAAGCATAGTCACCTTTTACGGCAAGCACTGGTTGCTAAAGACCTATTCTACCTCGAATCTTCATGGGTCGCTTTCGCACATGAACAGGTGAGACAAATGTAATACTGTCTCAATAAAATATTTTTATGTTACATTAAATAGGCAGATTTTTTTCAGTTATATAGCAATATTTCTTAAGCGTTTAACATGTTGCTATTTTTCTGTTTTCATATATACTGTAACTTGGCCATATGACCATTAATACTGAATAAACAACTTTATGCAAAATCAAAAATTATTCCTGGGAACTCTTTGACCGAAGTACTTGAAGTCATACATGCATTCTGATTGGTTTGTCATATTTTCGCCCATAACATTCATCAATCGGGGGACGAGTCTTCTTGCAGGTTACGAAAAGATGGGAGTGGTGACGAATGTGTATTCATTTTGACAACATGACTTTTTGTCTTTCTACTTTATAACTCCTAACTGAATCTACAAGTTACAAAGGGATAGATCTGAGAACTACGACAATATGTATAGCCTAATTAAGAGTACATTGTAATCAACTGCTTCTCTGAATTAATGATGTATCTGAAGCTTCAGGAGAGATGCACAATACCACATCCCTCAACCTCATCCCCCTGGGACTGAGCTATTGTTTCAGAGACCTAGTTAATGATACTGATTGGTGTGAGTGATGGCTAGTGCAGTAGGGTTGTAGTGTGATATATCCAACAGATGATATATGTATCTGGTGCACGTATGGAACTGAAGGTGATAAAGTGTTGGTAGGCCAATCAAGGAGTAAAACAATAGGTTCTGTCAAGCATTTGGAGTAATTGTTATTGATTGACTGGAGAATTAATGAGTTTTCTGATTACAAAGGGTCTTTTTGAAGACATTTGGTGAAAAATAGATGAATAGGATTGAATTCATCATGATGAACTTTTTGTATAGCTCTTCTGAAATTAAAGTATTTAGAGTGGAATTTCTTCAGAATAGATTTATTTGTTTGTTGTTTAATGCCACACTCTGCAATATTCTAGCTACATGACGGCGGTCTGTAAATAATTGAGTCTGGACCAGTGATTGACATAATGAGCATCGATCTACGCAATTGGGATACAATGACATGCATCGAGCATGTCAGCGAGCCTGACCGACCGATCACTTCAGTCACCTCTTACGACAAGTATGGGTTGCTGAAGACCAATTCTAATCTTCATGGGTTTCAATATAGAAGTATTAAGAATTGAATCTAATAAAGGTGTTGGAAATAGAATGGGCTTTTCAACACTCTGAACTTGAGAATGATGCAAACAAACCAAACATATAAATTGGCAGAAATCAGGATTTTAGACTCAGGATCGGTGATAGATAAGTAGATCCTGCTATAGCTAATGGAGACAACCTTGTACAGGCAATTGCAGCACCAGTGCCCCTCAAGCTAAAAAAATTATATATCTGGAATATAAGAATTCTCAACTGACATCCGTGTAGTCGGGAACTCACCTGACATCTGTGTAGTGGGAAACTCACCTGACATCTATGTAGTGGGGAACTCACCTGACATCTGTGTAGTGGGGACTCACCTGACATCTGTGTAGTGGGGACTCACCTGACATCTGTGTAGTGGGGGACTCACCTGACATCTGTGTAGTGGGGAACTCACCTGACATCTGTGTAGTGGGGACTCACCTGACATCTGTGTAGTGGGGACTCACCTGACATCTGTGTAGTGGGGGCTCACCTGACATCTGTGTAGTGGGAAACTCACCTGACATCTGTGTAGTGGGGACTCACCTGACATCTATGTAGTGGGGACTCACCTGACATCTGTGTAGTGGGGGACTCACCTGACATCTGTGTAGTGGAGACTCACCTGACATCTGTGTAGTGGGGAACTCACCTGACATCTGTGTAGTGGGGACTCACCTGACATCTGTGTAGTGGAGACTCACCTGACATCTGTGTAGTGGGGAACTCACCTGACATCTGTGTAGTGGGGACTCACCTGACATCTGTGTAGTGGGGACTCACCTGACATCTGTGTAGTGGGGAACTCACCTGACATCTGTGTAGTGGGGACTCACCTGACATCTGTGTAGTGGGGACTCACCTGACATCTGTGTAGTGGGGGAACTCACCTGACATCTGTGTAGTGGGGAACTCACCTGACATCTGTGTAGTGGGAACTCACCTGACATCAGTGTATCTGGGAACTCACCTGACATCTGTGTAGTTGGGAACTCACCTGACATCTGTGTAGTGGGGGACTCACCTGACATCTGTGTAGTGCAGGACTCACCTGATATCAGTGTGGTGGGGACTCACCTGACATCAGTGTAGTGGGGGACTCACCTAACATCTGTGTAGTGGGGGAACTCACCTGACATCTGTGTAGTTGGGGAACTCACCTGACATCTGTGTAGTTGGGACTCACCTGACATCTGTGTAGTGGGGGACTCACCTGACATCTGTGTAGTGGGGGACTCACCTGATATCAGTGTAGTGGGGACTCACCTGACATCTGTGTAGTGCAGGACTCACCTGACATCTGTGTAGTGGGGACTCACCTGACATCTGTGTAGTGGGGACTCACCTGACATCTATGTAGTGCAGGACTCACCTGATATCAGCGTAGTGGGGAACTCACCTGACATCTGTGTAGTGGGGGAACTCACCTGACATCTGTGTAGTGGGGGACTCACCTGACATCTGTGTAGTGGGGACTCACCTGACATCTATGTAGTGCAGGACTCACCTGATATCAGTGTAGTGGGGAACTCACCTGACATCTGTGTAGTGGGGACTCACCTGACATCTGTGTAGTGGGGGACTCACCTGACATCTGTGTAGTGGGGACTCACCTGACATCTGTGTAGTGCAGGACTCACCTGATATCAGTGTAGTGGGGAACTCACCTGACATCTGTGTAGTGGGGACTCACCTGACATCTGTGTAGTGGGGGACTCACCTGACATCTGTGTAGTGGGGACTCACCTGACACTGTGTAGTGGGGGACTCACCTGACATCTATGTAGTGAAGGACTCACCTGACATCCATGAAGTAGGGACTCACCTGACATCTGTGTAGTGGGGGACTCACCTGACATCTGTGTAGTGGGGGAACTCACCTGACATCTGTGTAGTGGGGAACTCACCTGACATCTGTGTAGTGAAGGACTCACCTGACATCTGTGTAGTGGGGACTCACCTGACATCTGTGTAGTGGGGGACTCACCTGACATCTGTGTAGTGGGGACTCACCTGACACTGTGTAGTGGGGGACTCACCTGACATCTATGTAGTGAAGGACTCACCTGACATCCATGAAGTAGGGACTCACCTGACATCTGTGTAGTGGGGGACTCACCTGACATCTGTGTAGTGGGAAACTCACCTGACATCTATGTAGTGAAGGACTCACCTGACATCCATGAAGTAGGGACTCACCTGACATCTATGTAGTGAAGGACTCACCTGACATCTGTGTAGTGGGGGACTCACCTGACATCTGTGTAGTGAAGGACTCACCTGACATCTGTGTAGTGGGGACTCACCTGACATCTGTGTAGTGGGGACTCACCTGACATCTGTGTAGTGGGGGAACTCACCTGACATCTGTGTAGTGGGAAACTCACCTGACATCTGTGTAGTGAAGGACTCACCTGACATCTGTGTAGTGTTGCACGTACAGGTCCTGGAAGGGGGAGGGTTTGGGTGCCTTGCTCATCATCTGCTTCTGGAGATCCTCCTTCATCTGGTTCATCAGGTTGCTGGGGATGCAGCTGATGAGAAGCTCCTCCTGGGGACCACAGACATAAGCATCTCAGTCAGGTCATACTGTCTGAACATGTCACAGAGTCCACGTAAATCGTCCAGGTAAATACAGGATGAAACTATTCTTGGAACAAGACAATTAACCAATTCTTGATCCATCGGAATGGATTATCTGACAAAGAGATTGGCCCAGTGTTGATGTTATTCTAAAACTGACACTATCTGACAATGAGATTGGCCCTGTGTTGGTGAGTTCTAAGACTGACACCATCTAACAATGAGATAGGCCCTGTGTTGACGTCTCCACTCTTCCTCACCTGTTGTTTCTTCTCTCTCTCCAGTTTGATGCTCGCCTCCACAGAGTTCCTGGCATCAAGGAATGCTCGGCGGTGAGCCAGATCGGACAGCGACTTGTGGTACAGACCAACAATGTTTGCACACAGCAGCATCACAGCATTAGACACAAGCTGGGGATGGAATTGCAATGTATAAAACTATCAGTCTTATTTTGTCCTTTTAATGCACAGGATGGCTTAAATTTAATATGCAATATCTGATGACATAGAGAATCTCACCCGTGTGTCTTTTGATATCAAATATATCAACACGAGTTGATAAAAGTGGAAAAATTTCCAGGCTTGCCGAGGATTTTTGCCTCTTTTATCAACTTGTGTTGATATATTTGATATCAAAAGACACGCGGGTGAGATTTTATTTATCATCCAACATCATTATTCCAACTTTTTCAATTAGTAGACAGTAATAAGCAGTGTCTTCAGTGTAAAAAGTACTGCTGACAGCTTCAGTAGCAGAACCATTAGTGATGTCATTTGATTGTGACGTCATGGTAGCCAGTGACGTCACAGCATTGTGATGTAATTTCATTGCAGCGATATCTGCAGTGTAGATATCGCTTGATCTAATCCAAGCGATATCTCCTGTGGGAGCCAGTTTTGGATGATAAAAGATGTTCACGCATAGCATAGGTCAAACATCAAAGGCAATATTTTAAATATAGTCCCTATGACAACCTATAGGATTCATAAAGGTCAAACGTAAAATGTGATATCAAATATGGTTGCCCCGGTTGCATTAACCTACTAACCTGTTGTGGCAGATGCTGAATTAATCTGTCAGATAGGACCCCGGAGAGCACAAGCTCCAGGACCAAAGACAAAGATCCAACCGCCAGGGACCATTTCTTGGACAAAGGCAGCACCATGTAGCCCACCAAGGTGATATAAAACATGACGGGCATGTCATCTGCGGGGGTGCGGTGGACGCTGAAGCTGTAGTAGAGGGACATGAGTGAGAGGATGGAGAGCCACACGGCAGCCGACAGGAGGGAGGTGTGTTGCTGGTAGATCTTCTTCAGGCTTGTGAACACAATGAGGAACACCTTCAACAGGACACCACAGCCTAGTATGGACACCTGGGCTGTCTGGGAGGAACTCTGAAACAGAAGGATTTGGGGTAAGGCCATGGTGGACCATGGTACAGTCAAGTCTCGATAATCCCACACTCCTTAATCTGACAATCAGCTTTATCCGACGCTAATGATGGGAACCGATTAAATCAGTGCTATTTAGACCCAATAATCCGACAGTCTCGCACTCTGACTCCGACACTCCTAATTTGCAACGAATTACCGAAATCACTCATTAATCAGTCTCGTTAATCCGACACAGTCATCAGAGGTTGCATGATAAGAAAACATATTCCGCCAACAATGTAACATAACAATATGAATATTTATTTTATATTTTTTATTACGTGTTTGAATCCTCATATCTATCGTGTAGTTGTCCTATTTTCATTCACGAACGTTGATACTACTTAATTTCGTTTATCCCACATACTCGTTAATCCGACATAATCATATGCAACTGTAGCAGGGTACCTTATATTCTTCCTATAGTTATATCATTATTCATACATCATCATCATAATCATCTATATGTTCAATGTTTGTCTTGTCTACAGTTGAATATCAGTATCTAACTCTTTAAACAACTCAACACCCTTATTTTCAGTCTCTGGGAATCTCTCACCAGATCTTCCCCTTCAACCTTCTGTCTATCTTTAGACATTTTTTACACCTGTAGGGTTTCCCTCAGTCTATTTATATCTTGCATTAAGCACTTCCTTTGATGCTTAATGCAATCTGTCTTCTAATTGGCCACCCTGGTCCTCTACAGGTAGCTTCCTTCCATACCTGACTTCCTCCTCACTTCATGTGCTGCTGTTGAGGAGGAAGGACATTTTCTTTTCTTCAGGTATGGAATGGCCATATTTCAATCTGTTTTCATCTGCTTCTGTCAGAAATTAATATCTATATTAGGGTGCTGAATTAAATTGAATAATATATATATAATATCATTTAAAGTAATATTAAATTAGTAAATGGAATATTGATATTATAAAACTTGCTTGTAAAATAATTAACCACATGGTCCATTTTGGACCATGTGCTTTCCAAGTATCCTATAATGAACATATAACAGTAATTTAACATTAAAGTTAGTTTTAGTATAGTTTATCAATGGCTTTTGTACTTTTATATTTAAGATAAATAATACCTGTAAACTTGCAAATATATCACTTCATGTGCTGCTGTTGAGGAGGAAGGACATTTTCTTTTCTTCAGGTAGTTCTTCAACAGCAGCCACCCCCCTAGCAATAAATCCATTATCACCATCTGCCTGTGTCTGTGTTTCCCAACGGCCCGAGCCGGATAAATACCACTACCCCGGCTACAAATTTGGCGCCCAACGTGGGGCCGTTGGCTGTCACTCTGGACACAGGCTTCATCAACTTCATCGTGTTCTGGGGGTAATCCTTCATCACTGTTGAAGGATTCTTCATTGAAGATTCAGGATGTTTCTTCCATGCAACTTGTGGAAGTTTTGTGTGTAGCGTTGAGCTATAACTCTGACTAAAATTAAATCTTGATCCTCAATCGTCAGTGATCTACACTTTGTTATGACGTTGAACTTTTCGTCTGCATCAGTGCTAAAATTGAGGTGCTTCCTCCAATTCCTGGAAGTGTGACTTTTATTTTAACTGATTTACATGTATTTGTCATTTTGTTCACACATGAACTTTTGATCTGTGAACTGTGACCATGAACTTTGTTTACATTCTGAACTAAATTTTATCAGAATGTCATTAGTTGACTGTTTCATTGTATATATATATATGCTTGATATGTTCATCACCATTACTTGAACATTTTTGAAACTTTATCTTGTCACACTTGTGATCATCATATTTTCCACTTAGGAAGCACTGTTGACAACTGTAAAGTTGTACAGCTGTGTGACCCACTTGTTGCCATTCTGAGTTATCATTGCAGAATTCTCATTTAATTAAATTCTTATTTAAAATCAACCTATATCTTTACAGAATTTTGATAAATTCTATTTATACTGCCCTTTAACTGTGATAGCTAATTGTGATATATTGTAATTTTCATCTTCATTCAATGAATTTTATTAAATTAATTTGCAGTTTACTGGTATAAGATAAGCCATTTAATTTGTTAAGTCACTTGGATACCTTTTGGCAAAGTAAGTACCCTAAAATAGTTATTTCATATTTCTTACTTTAAATTTCTCACTCTTCTTTCCTGTCTGAAATATTTTTCACTGCTGGGAAATTCCTTATCTGCTCAACTAACATTTGCCATATCATGTCTTGTCCTTGTGCCGTCCTATTCATTCATACCATTTCATCATCTTAGTTCATCATTCAAATCAAAACAAATTCATTACTCTTGTGTTGATTACTTCTCGTTCGCAACTTATATATTGCTTCATACTTAGTTCTTCCTATATATATTCCTGCTCGCAACATTTTGGTAAGATTGTTGTGATCTTTGCCGTAATTGACTTAGTTTATCCTACACATCTGCTTGGTAACCAGATTGTGGTAGCTTAGTCATGTAATATTTCTTATTACAACAAGTGGTCAGTTGTTCTTACACCTACCTTGCCACTTACCTTTTTCGTATTACTTACCTTAGCAAACTAAAGTTGTATTTTTCCCTTTTGTTCTGGAGACTTTGTCAGATACTTCGTATTTTGGTATTTGGTTTCTGCTTTTCCAGTTTAGCTCAGTGAGGACTTTTGGTTCCCTTACTTCTATTTTTGGCTAGCTGCAGTTCATTGTTCTTGTACCTTGTGGTGCACTAGATGCTGAACTTCAGACGCATCCATTTTGTATCCTTTGGTGAGGAGCTCATAGTTTGTTGATGTTCAGATGTTTGTTGGATCTTAACTTGTGAGATTCTTGTCGCCTTTTAGGAGGTACTTCAGTTTTGATAGTGTCATATAGTTCATATTCCTCTCATATCAAACATCCTTGCACTTTAGTTTGTATCACCATGGCTGAAGCTAATGTAAGTGGGGACCCGGAGGTCGATGTGGTACTTAGCTGCCTTCAGCATCTGCATCCTTCGGTCCGCACTGGTGTGCTAAATAGACTAGCAGATGATATTGCAAATCAGCTGCAGCATCCCAATACGACATATCGTGTTACTGGTACTGGTGCACCAGGTCTTGGGTTGTCCAATACTTACACTATTCCACCTACAATATATACCAGTCCTAGGGTGGCATTACCTGTTCACTCCCCTAGGCCGGTACCTCATCTGCTTAGTCATACGCCACCATCAAGGTCACCTATGCCCACAGGTTCTGAGAATCTGTTTCAGATTTCTCCGGCGACTGTGAACCTTAGTCCTATGATGGACCTACCAGCTTCACTGCCTAGGCCTCATGGTTCAATTTACAACTTTGTTCAGCCTAGGGCAACTTCTACACCTTACCTGAATAGTTACCCATCACAACCTTCACACACACCGCATGAGTCTTGGCCTAGCCGCACTATTCCAACACCATATCCAGGTTATAATCCAACTACCTTTTATAGCCATAGTGTAGGTGCTCCTCCTAGACTTGTCACACCCTTTCAGCCTACTTACATGCCCATTATCAATTCTCCCAGTCCACGGTTGTCATCATTTTCTGGGGATGGGACCAAGGGTGAGGTCAAGTATAAGCAATGGCATTTAGAGATTGTTGGGTGTCGTAGGGAGAATGCATTCTCGGACACTTCAATTCTAAATGCCATGCGGAGGTCCGCCAAGGGTTCAGCTGCTGACCTACTTAGTGGGCTTTCAGAAACTGTTACCCTTGACACTGCTATTGAGCAGTTGGACTTAGTGTTTGGCAATGTGATGCCTGGCGAGACGCTTATGGAGCGTTTTTACACTGCCCGCCAGAAAAAGAATGAGTCTGTCGCTGTGTGGAGTTGCCGCCTCCGGGATTTGATCTCCAAGATAGAGGCATCTGGCACTTTACCACACAATGCTGCACCTAGCTTGCTTCGAAGCCGGTTCTGGATGGGTCTCACTCGTGATGACCTGAAGCAAGCGACTCGCCATCACTTTGATTCAGGTACGGACTATAACAAGCTGCTGCTTGCTGTCCGTAGGGTTGAGGAGGAGTTAGCCACCCCTGGGGATGCACAATCATGTCAATTGACTACCACTACAACTAGCAACAGACAACTGGATGATGTGCTATTCCGCCTAAAGGTGATTGATAAGAACCTTAGGTCTGTTGGGGATAGGGTTAACACCCTGGAGTATAAATCTCATAGGCCCTCAAATACAGCCCAGAATCAAGCCAATAAGGCCCAATCTCAGGCTCAGAATCTACCCCCTAGGTCTACCACTACAAATGTAGTTACACAAGGTAGCACATCACGTACACCATATGCTTCTCAATCACAGTTAGCCTCAAAAACTGAGGTACACTGTTATGATTGCGGGAAGATAGGGGTTAGGCGGCGTCACCCACAGTGCCCCGCTTTAAACTCCTAGGAGTCAATGTTATGGGGCGAACATTGGACTCCGACATTAGCTCCAATTCTGGGTTGCCATCAAATTTGATTGGTCCCGCAAACGTCACATCTGTTAGGGTAGAAGGCCACTTATGTAATGTTCTTGTAGACACAGGGTCCCAGGTTACCACTATGTCCGAGACATTTTACACAAATAACCTCCCTCAACATACACTCCATAGTCTAGGTTCACTCTTGAAGTTAAAAGGAGCCGGGGAAGCTAAGCTACCCTACTTGGGGTATGTTGAAGCTATAATCCTAATCCCTAGTGACTTCTTAGGTCAGGAAGTTGAGGTAACTATACCGATACTTGTAGTGCCCAATACTGACTACCACTTCAAGGTGCCTTTACTATTAGGGACAAATGTCATGACTGCTGCTGAAAGCCTGCATGGTGCACCAATAGCAGCCACTGCATCACCTTGGAGTCAGGCTCAGCAATGGCTCATTAGGCGTCGGGAAGACCTTAACCGGACTGAGTGTGTGCGGACAACCAAGCCAATTGTTATCCCTGCTTTATGTAATCAGATTATTGCAGGTATAAGC